TTGACCTCATGACCCCAAGATCAAGAGTCGCATGCTCCATTGACTGAGGCAGCCAACGTTTTTAAGTTGTCCAAGGTTTTGTTTTGTTTTCATGGCTGCTCTGTGTGGTCTTATGGGAGAATTTGATAAATATTCATTACTATTATTTCAGAATCTCTGCCAGGTTAAGCTTTTTTTTTTTTTTTTAAAGATTTTGTTTATTTATTTGACAGAGATCACAAGCAATTAGAGAGGCAGGCAGAGACAGAGAGAGTGGGAAGCAGGCTCCCCGCTGAGCAGAGAGCCCGATGTGGGGCTCGATCCCAGGACCCTGGGATCATGACCTGAGCCGAAGGCAGAGGCTTTAACCCATTGAGCCACCCAGGCCCCCCTGCCAGGTTAAGTTTTGAATGTAGGAGCAGGTAAAAGTTATAGGGGGCCACAATCTCCTCCAGTAACTGCTTTTCTCCAAGTTGTTCTCTTATCAATCTTTAGCAAAGAGTATATTAAGAACTTTGGCTAACTCCTTTCTCTCTCTGAACCTCGTAGCAGATTATGGAGGCTGCTCCAGCTCTGACTGACGAATTGATAATCAGGGAAATTTCAAGGCAAATGGCCTACTCCATTTGGACAATTGTGCATTTTATTTACTTCAGGGTGATCTGTTATTAAACAGAAACCTGCACCATCAAACTGATGCCAGAAGGCCAGACTGCTGTTTTAAAGAAACGGTGTGATATACTTTTTCAGCTAGTTAAATGATTAGTTCTAGTCAGTTTCACAGAATCTCTAGTTGTCTCTATTTGTTTCCTGGGAAAACTGCAAAATTCCCAAGGCTGTTCACTTCAGTCTGCCATTCAGTAGAGAGAAATCTTGGACAAGTTGTATCCTCCGAAATTCATTAAAAAAAAAAAAGAAAAAATCCCTGTAAAATGGGAATGATGCCTGCCTTACACATTGTTAAGCATGAATGAGATAGAATGACATGAATAGAAGAGCCTAGTAAACGGTAAATACTGTTTCAGTTGTGTTCTTTAGTACTGTTTGCCTTCCTCTATTTCTACCATATCAAAAGTGTAGCACCCAGCAATATAAAGTACCTGATAACATAGGTAGTTTGCTGTTTTACTCACCTTCATATTCCTTGTACCTTACACGTAGCCTGGCCCATAGTAGGTGTTTAGTAAGTAATTAAGGAATAGAATGTTCAATTCTGGCAAAAATCAGATGGGCTTATTCATTATCAGAAGCTCTTCAGTACAGCTGAAACACCACACTAGGTCTCAATTTCTCATCTTTAATGTATCTTTAAAAAGCATCTGGCTTGCTTTTATCCAGAATTGAGACTAAATAAGGCACGATATACGAAAATGCTTTTTAACAAGGACCAGGCACCTACTGACTCCAGGCAGAAAACAACTGTGGCTGGTAGAAGGTTATCTAGGTATTCCAGTGGGCATTTCTATTAGAAAGAGCTTTCTTAAGAAAAAAAAATTTTTTTTTAAGGAAAGCTTTATTTGGTTTTAAGATTGTGAGAGCAAGAGAGAGATAGAGAGAGGACGAGAGAGAGAGCACGAGAGACGAAGAAGGACAGAGTGGGAGGGAGAAGCAGGCTCTCCACCAAGCAAGGAGCCCGATGTGGGGCTCAAACCCAAGACCCTGGGATCATGACCTGAGCTAAAGGCAGATGCTTAACTGACTGAGCCACCCAGACACCCCAGAAAAAAATAATTTTTGTTATGTCTCCAACTAGTTACTTTCTAAGCTCCTTAAAGAAATGGATAGCATCTTCTCCATCTTTGAATCCCTCCTGCTTATTAGCAAAATGCTGTCAGTCTGTCACAGCCCTCAGTAAATATTTGTCCAACAAATGTTAAAGTACTGCCACACCAATCCATCAGCAAGCACTGATGTTTACTTGCAAAATGTATCCTGATTCCAACTATTTCACCTTACCCCCATTTATTATCATCTTAGCAGAAGCTGCCATTATATTGCCCCCATGTGAATAACTACTATAGCTTTCCAACTGGATTCCTGGCTTCTATTCATCTCTCCCAGGAGCAAAACAATCAAGAGTAATTTTTAAACACTAACCAATCAACAACAAACCATAAACTAGACCATGTCACTTCTGTGCCTAAAATCCTGCAGTGAATTTCCCATTGTATATCTTTAAAAAGGTTTATTTGAGAGAGGTGGGGGGAGCACCAGAGGGGGACGGACAGAGGGAGACTGAGAGGCAGACTCCCCACTGAGCAAGAACCCTAAGCAGAGGCTGGGGCTTGATTCCAGGACCCTGGGATCATGACCTGAGCTGAAGGCAGACTGAGTCACCAAGCGCCCCTCCCACTGTATTTAGAATCCACATTCTTTAAACTAAACCCACAAGGCTCTGTGTATCAGGAACCAGCAAACTACAGCCTGCAGGCCAAATCTGACTTGCCACATTTTTCTGTGAATATAGTTTAATTGGAACATAGGCAAGTATGGCCTGTGGCTGTTTCTGCATTGCAAGACAGAGCTGAGCAGTTGTGACAGAGACCGTATGGCTTGCGAAGCCTAAATATTTACTATCTGGCCCTTTACAGAAAACACTTTTGCTGACCCCCACTCTATATGATCTGACCCCCTACCTTCCTAGGTATTTGCTACTCCCCATTCCTGTCCTGCTCATTCACTATATCAAGTCTATTCCTCCTCAGAGGCTTTTGCATTTGCTCTTCTAATTCTCTAGGAATGATCTTTATTCATATTGACACATAACTGCCTCCTTATTGTTGGGGTCTCTGCTTAGATGTTAAGTCCTCAGAGACCTGTCCTGATCAACCAATCTAGAGTGGCCCCTCAACCTCCTTAGTTACATATCTGCTATGAAACAATAACACAGTAATGACTGTTTGAAATTACTGACTGGTTTAGTTCTCACCGCACTCTAGAATATAAGCTCCATGAAACCTTATTTGCATATCCCCATCTTCAATTTTCATAAGCATAAACCCATCACCAAAAACAAATGCCTGGTAGTTTTTAAGCGGGAAAGAAGAGGGCCAATAAACAGCTGCTGAATGAATAAGGCCAAGGTCAGGAACTCCAGTCCAGTTCAAATCAGTCTGTAACGTTCAGTTTCACTGTTGCTGAGTGGTCTTGATACTGGCCTGACTTGAATCATAAAAGGCTGAAGGAAGATCAGTACATATTCCTGGTCCATTACGTGCAAAAAGAACTCCATCGAGAGCATATGCCTCTTCAGGTAAGGGTAGAAGTTGGAAAACCAAGCAAGGCAAGGTCAGAGAATTTGACAAAGAAGTTCTCAACTTTATGATTATTATGGTTAAGAATTTTATTATCAAAATTATTACATCTCTTGTGAAAGTTCAAATGTTACAGCAAGGTGTAAACACTCCACTTGAGAAAGAAGTGATACTTCTTCCCTTCCAAGAGTTCCCCCCCCCCCCCCCCCCCCCCCCCCCCCAGAGGTCTGGTCTTGACAGCACCCTGCCCACACAGAGTGGCTGGGGTCTCTGCACGTGCCAGGCAGGGTGAGGGCCGCCTGCCCGCTGGCCTCTCCCCTTAGCTAAAACCAAGGGGAGAATGCAAACCCCAGCCCAAATGGAGAGACATTTACATACGTTTTATATAATATACAAAGAAACCAGCATCCCAGGCAACATGATTTCCACTCCCAACGCTCTCCCAGACTGATGGGTTTGTGGGGGAAACAACAAAAAGAAAAGTATTCTGCTGAGGTTTCAGCATTTAAAAAAAAAAAAAAAAAAAATCTCCCCTCATTTGAGCAAACACCTGATTTCAATTTTGAAAAAGTGAAATTTTGTAACAGTCACACACAAAGAGAGAAGACTGTGCATATGATAGTTATAGGAAAGGATAGAAAAGAAGGGGGATGCAAGAGGCTGGGGAAAAAAGGAAGAAAACAAATTGGAAGGAGGGAGACTCACAGTATTATCTTGTCCAAAAGAAAAGAAGTAAGGTCCACTGCAGCACCAGGGATTACACCTGTCATATATTTGCTACCCCTACCATGGTTATAACTGAATACAAAATTAGATAAATAAAAACACGCCGGATATTACAGTAAACAAGTGAAAGAAATAAGCTGGCAACCGTATGGAATTTTTAAAAAGATTGTGTACCCCACCTGGGCGGGCTCCAGGGCTCCCACAGGGGCGTACAACAGGCACGATGCACTGATGGGGAGAAGCCAGTCTGCCCGTGTCTCTCATCCAGAACAGTGTTAGGTGTGTGGGTGGCTTTGTAACTCTCTCACCTGGGCCATTCTCAAATCAGCATCCCCCAAAGAAATGTGGGACATGCCCACACACAATCACAGTCCTGTCGGTGCCACTCCACAAACGTATCTTTCCACTCTTACCCTGCAGTCACAAGTGCGTGCTCCCTAATCACGGAGGTGGTCCTATTCACGGGATCGTCAACTCCTGATTAACTGGGAGTAGAAAAAAATAAAATTCAAAGAATTCCCAAAAACACTTGGGATCCTTACTAATCAAATTTATTGCCAACAGCTGATAAGTAGCAATGCAATTGGCCCATCTCACTTATTTCGCTTTTCTTTGCCTACTTCCTTTCTGGGTTACTGAGCTGTGAGACAGCTTGGGGAGGGGTGGGGGATGGGAACAGCTGGGGGCTCAGATGATCTACTATGATCATCTGCTCCTGAATCATCAGAAGTTGACGAAGAGCTCTTCTTCAGAGAGCCAGGCACCCCTCAGCCAGAGCACATTCCAAGTTTTGCTATCCCTGCCTATTTCTTGGTGATTTTAAGACAAAGGTAGGGAGAATTCTTGGTGGACACATCTTGGCCAGATACCTGCTTTTGGAATGGTTGTCACAGGGCGAACATTTCCATACCTACCTTTCTTCTTAAGTGCATAAAAATCCTAATACTACTCAGATGGCTTGGGGCTTTGAGATTGGCTCTTTATGCTTTTTTCCTCTGAAAAGAAAACTTCTTTTTTGGGGGGGAGGGTGTGTGTGTGTGTGTGTGTGTGTGTGTGTGTGTGTGTGTGTGTGTGTAAAAAGATGTCCCCACTGCACAAGTGACTACAGGCTACAGGCAAGGACGGGAGACAGAGGCTTCAACACGACTCATTGCACTTAGAACCGTTACTAACCGGAACACCATTTGCTTGTCAACAATGTACCCTTAACAGCAGGGAGAAACTTCTTTATAGTCTCTGCTTCAGACAAGATTTACATCTTTCTCCAAGGCCAGAGCCAGTCGCGACCACAAGTCTCGTTTCTTGTCGACCAGACCCAGTCCTCTGGCACCTTGTACCCTCTTCCCCAGCAATATGCTCGGCCTAGGTTCCAGAGGCAGCTGGAAGGAAGCAGCTATGGGCTCATTCAGTTCTGTTTGCCCAAATCCAGAAGCCCTAGGAAAGTCCTGTCTGAGTCTTGACTCCTGACCCTTGCAGCGGCTGGAGTCGGTACTGGTGCACACCCCCACTCCCACGGTGTGGGTAGTGCTGTGAATTGGAAACCGCAGATACCCTGGAGGCCTGGTAGGCAGCGGACTGCCCAGCACTGGGCAGACTGATAGTCCGTAAGTCTGATGGCAATGACGATCTAGAGTTCTGAGGGAAGGAGGTGGAACTCAGAGTTCCTGTGCTGGACTGGGAGACCGAGTCTGAGGTCGGCGAGTCTGAGGGGCCCTGTGGGGTAGGGCTAGCAGCACTAGAAGGGCAGCTCCTCCTTGGAAGATTGCTGCCAGTGCTGTTTCCAGAATGTGGCTGGCTGCTGTAATACCCTGGTGTCCCCGTAAATGGGGCCAACGAGTCTGTGGATACAGGGTGGGCGGGGCTGGAATAGGACGCAGAAGAGAGGGAAGATTCTGAAGAACCGTGAGAGGGGGGATTTCCAGGTCTCAGTGCAGTAGTTCGATAACTGTATCCTGGAGATTGGGTGGGATGTCCTCTAAAGGGGGAGGAACTCTGCTGAAGGAGGCTTTGTGATTCTGTCCGTGGACTATCACACTGCAGGAGCTAGAAAGAGTCAGGAGGAAAAGCATAAGGAGGTGAAAAAGTCCCTATTTAAGCCATTTAGGCTTGTGAATATTTAGAACACCCTACTTTTTCTTCTTCTCCTTCTTCTTCTTCTTCTTCTCCTCCTCCTCCTTCTTCACCTTCTTCATCTTCTTAACCATTTGTTCTTTTTAGGATACCAAAGACAGTAAAATGGCTGTCTCTGATCATTTTATTTATTTTTCTGGCATGATTTATTACCTGAAGGTGAGCAGATGATGACTTATTTCCAAGGCTGCTGAAACTATATGCAAAGACGGCATCTCAACTGCAAAGGATGGCCAGGATCACAAAATATTGGAACCCAGAATATACTCCTATGCCCAGAGATGAGCAATTTCTCGTCTCACCTGGTAGCTGTATCTGGAAGGGCTGTAAACGGCTGCTCCTTTTGAGAGTGCTGAGCTCAGTGTCTCTGGGCCTTCTCCATCTGCAGGGTCTGGAAGATAATAGAAAATTCTATTAACTTGGCTTCCTAGAATTCCTAGAATTAAGTGAGAAATAGCCATTGTTCATTCAAATCACCAATGGTATCACTAATCCGTGCTTTCTTTTTAACAAAAAAAGTGAATGCAGCATGCCAGATGGGCAAAAGGAGTGGTTAATTATGGGTGATGTTTTAAATGCCTGATCTGATTCCTGTCTCCTTCTTTCTCTTCATCCTTCATCAAAATGGATTTCTAGGCCTTTGCAGAGAAGAGTTACAGAAAGGTATCTCTTGGGAAAAAACAGAGATGGGTGGGGGCGGGATAGAGAAAGAAAGACAACACTGGATGGATGCAAGATCTTAAGAATGTTGGGAGCCCAGAAGAATGGAAGCAAGACTGACCTGGAACCTTCTTTCCAGTGGAGCCTCACTGCATAAGAAACTGACTCACTGCAGTCCAGCATTTAGTGAGCATTGTGTAGAGGCTGGCTCGTGTGTCCCTAAACCTGGCTGGCAGCAGAAGGCCATGGGCTCACCTGAGTCTTTCTCTGTGACGTTACTCTCCCAAGTGGGAGAAGGCTCTCCTTTTTGGGCCACCCGCACACTGCTTCGGAGGACCTTGGGGATGCTCCCTCCTTCTCGGAGTCGTTCTACTGATGTGGGAACCATCCTGTAAAGGGAACAGAGTGCAAGTTTATGTCACAGGACTTCAGAGTCAAGAGTCTGGAACAAATGAAGCTCTCACAAAGGCTGTATAATACATTCTCTTACAACATCCTCTTCAGGACCAGTTTAAAACAGGAATTTCTTTCTCTGCCTTAAATTACAGAAAAAAGGAATTTAAAGATGTCTACATTTGACCTCTATTGTGAAATGTGAAATTTTTCTCTTCTGTGAAGTCATGTGCCTGGCACATAGTAGTAGTTTAATAAATGCTCTATAGATTAATAAACATTACTCATTTGAGTCAGGTCTTTTCTTTCCCAAACTTCATTGCTTCAGTTCAAGATCCCTGAATAGCCTCATTCTCTACACCTCCCATTTGATGCTCAATACCTGCTACTATTTATTATTTATTTACTTACAGTGGTATTTATCTACGTGGTCTCCCCTAAAGTAGACAAGACCTTTCAGAATATGTCTTATCTTTCTGTACATGCTATCTGTGTGCAACTGAATCTTCTGTTGTAATTTAAGTGGCACTGAGCTGAACTCCTGACTTACCTTTCATATGAAATGAAAAAATAAAAGAGGCAGTGTTAGTGCCCAGCAAATAAAATAGCTCATCTGTGTCCACAACTATATGGCACCCAAAGTGTTGTTCTGCAGGTTCAGTGGCAATTCTTTGCTTCTGTAAAGCTGAGGGGGGTGGGGGAGGGGTCATGGCTGATGCTATTAAATTAGCTGCACAGCATGGATGGCACTGCTGCTGCCTTTCTCAGACAAATATTCCAATATATTTTAGGTAAAATTGGAAATGATTCTAGATGTATGCTTTCCTCTTGAATTTAATTATTTCAGCATCAAACATAAACTTACCACCTACTGCTGATATTCTCTTGAGGTCTGCAGTGAGATGAAGTGCCTCTGGAATCTGATGGGCTTACCGCCTCCATATGGGACATAGAGGAATGAGATGGGGAGAATTTTTTGTGAGGGGAAGATGGGGTTCGGGTTGAGGATCCCTGCACACCATGGGCACCAGTGTCAGAAAGTGAGTTACTGCTGCCTTGCCCAGCTCCTGCAGACTTGCTTTTGCTCTGTGCAGAGTCACCTCCCCCACCAGCAGAATTCTCCTTGGCTTCTTGTTTCCGTTTGCGGTACTCCAGCAGGGATACCTGGGAGGGAAACAAGAAACAGAACTCTAGCCAGACATCGTCAGGGGATCACTAGCAATAGGGAAAGAAGATGGAACCCTCATGAACCACTAGCCTGCCATGCAAACAAAGCGGGCACCAATAATAGCAACCCTTCCTTCAGATGTTCGAGAGAACTGAGCACGCTACATACTTAAATCGGTCAGAAATTGGTAAGGAGAGAAAAATACCCAGGAGATGACATTTTTGAAGAACAGTGTTCACCAGCAGACCTCAACCTTTTTCATGCCTTCAAATAATTGAGATCACAGTGACCCAGTAACAGAAGCGTGCTATCAGCTGTTTGCTACAATGGTAACACCTAAAAAAGGAAAAGGGGAGCTGGGAGCTGTGTAGTTTGAAAAAGCCTTCCAGGTGATCTAAACAGTTCTTTCCCAATCCCTAAGAATCCCCACAGTAAGCTGTTTTTTTTTTTTGTTTTTTTTTTTAATTTTTTTATTTTTAAAAAAGGCGGGGGGGACAAAAGGAAAAGCCAACAGTTCAGGGTTCTTAAACGCGTTCAATTTTTCAAGATACATGCAGGGATTTATTACTGTTTGTCTTACACATAGGAAACTAGTGTAGAAAGACAAAGAATGATCTGCAGTTTATATTATAGCAAGCTAGTCTGGGAAATGTACACTTGGAAACTTTTCCCCAACTCTGCCTCATTCTCTCTTGATTGCCAAAACAAGGCCTTCCTCCCTGGCCCGCCCAGCACACTTCCTCTTTGCTGTTACAACACACTGCCCACACTGGCTGTCAACCTGTGTCTTGATTTTTCCTCCACTAAACTGTATGGTCTATGAGGGCAAAGATCAAATTTTTCTGGCTTTCCATCTTTAGAATCCAGCATAGAACCTGACTGGCAGCAGGTGCTCAACAATTCTCAAATAACAAATTATGATTTCAATCACTGTTGTACATAATAAATGAAACCAGAAATCCAAGAACATTTTAATTTTTGCTCCTGATGGTCAATGCTGTTCATACAATCGTCTTCTAAACCCACTGGTATCTTACCCCAAATTATCTGCCAGTGTTTCTGCCTTCTACTCAGGGCTCTCATTTTTCTGCTCAAACGTAAAATATAACCAAAATGCAAAGTACTACCATCTTCTGTATTCGTTTTTCCATATACAATCTTGGAAAATAATTCATAATAATAAATTCTGGTAATGTATTTCATTGAAATGCAAATACCAAAAGTCACTAGGTTACATTTCAATGAAACTACTATAGATATCCTGCAATTGTGTGAGACTGTCACACACAGAACATTTAACATCTCTAGCCCGGCACAATAAATGGAAGTTCCCGTGGCAACCCAAAATATCCCCATGCATTTTCAAATGCCCCTAGTTGAAATCCACTGACCTAAAAAGCACATTTTGGGCTTTGTAATTTCTTGAACAGGCATTACTTACAAGTTAAAGTCCCAACCTGTTAGCCAGCAGTCTATGGCATGTCCCTGTTCTACCATCTCTTTCCATATTCTCCCTACCTTTCACTCGAGCAGCATTCAACTGTTTGCAACCACACTGCATCCCTGCTGCCCAATCAATGGAGTGTCACACAAGTGACACTTGTCACACAAGCTACAAGTTCTGCTTTCCCTTCTGTAACATCCTTACCCTTATTTGTTGGCAGACTGTTTCCCACTTACCATATGAGATCAGCTAAATCAGTGAGTGACCTGTCGTCTCTCACTCCACCACCTCTCAAACTAGCTAGGAGCCTCTTGTTTGTTCTCAATGTACCCTCCACATATATGACTAGACTAGGTTGTGGCTAAGGTGTTCTTACTATATCTGAACAATTCCTTTGAAGCATCCACTGCCACTGTAATTACTTAATAATACAAGTATCTGCTTACCTCAGTCTCACTTGCTTTAAGCTCCATTAGGCCAGAATTTAGGAAGCAATATATAACATATTGGCAATAAGAGCATGAAATCTGGAATCAGACAGACCTGGGCAGTGTCCTGGCTCTTCCATTTACTAGCTATGTGACCATGGGCAAGTCACTCAACCTGCCTTAGTTTCCTCATCTGCAAAATGGGAAATTACCCATCTTACAGGATTACTGTGAGGATATAATGCATAAGAAAAAGCTTAACACATGAGAAGTGCTAAATAATACACGTAATTAGTATTATTCTTTTCCATTTTTCTATCCTTTGGTTGCATAGCAGGTGCACAGCACATACATGGCAGGCATTTAAATTTGTTGAATATTTGTAACACTCATCAAATTGTATTAAAACAGTCTTTCTTAAAAACAAAACAAAACAAAACAGCGGCGCCTGGATTGCTCAGCTGGTCAAGTGTCTGCCTTCAGCTTGAGTCCCATGTCTGGCTCCCTCCTCAGTGGGGAATCTGCTTCTTCCTCTCCCTGTTCCTCCCCCTTCTCATGGTCCTCCACCCCCATCTCTCAAATAAATAAATAAAATCTTTAAAACAAAACAGTCTTGTCTTTCACTGGACATGGCAGAGATCATGTCTCATGACTTTCTTTTCCTCACATGGAGAATGGTGCTAAGCACATGGCGGTTAACTCAGTAAGTATCTACTGAATTGCTTAGACACTATTCTTCAAAAGGGCCTATATAAGGTAAAACACTTACCTTTTTCCTCTGTGGTGGGTTCTGGGGGGCAGATGGGACTCCTTCACAAGCCCTTTCACCACCAGGTGACATGGATCCACGAGAGAGGTCTTTCATAAAACCATGTTCGTATCTGCTGGGAAACCCTTCTGCAGGGGAACAATATCCCCCGTCCAAATGTAAAGGCTTCCTATCCCCTACTAGGGGAGACCCTCGATACAGTCCATCTGCTCGAGGCATAGCGTTCAATGGGGAGTAGGCATACATTAAGTTAAACTCTGTCCGAAATGCCTGGTCCGAGTTCCTTGCAAGGGTCTGATGTCCATCTCCACTCCTGCTTGGAAAGCCAGTCTCAGAGGGGGGCCCGACAGAGGGATGAGGAGCCAGGTCAGAAGGACCCGAGTTGATCAGGGAAGGTCTGTCAGCACAGCTGTTAGTGTTGGAGTCAAGGTAGCCTACTTTTGTCAAGTCCAGGTCTTTCCGGTGACAAAGCTGAAAGAATAAAAATCAACAGAGACATGGAGGAGGAGGCGGGGGAAGGAAAAAGTCAAAGGGCAGAAAGGAAGGGAAGTGAGAGGGGCACAGGTGAAAGGTAAGAGGGATGGGGTAAGAAGGATGGGAGTACAAGAAAGCAAGCCATTAATATCTGTAAAAGGCCCATGGAGCAAAGGTATATATAGGCCAGATTATTAAAGAATGCCGGCCTTTCACAAATTGCTTTAAAGTTTTCTGGATGAGAAGCCTGGGAAAATCAGAATTAAACAACTGGCCAAATGTGACTATTTTGCCTGCTTAGCCTTTCATCAGGTTTGCCGAGTCACCCTGAACTACATTAAGGGACTGGAAGTATAATCAGGGATTTACCTGAGGCCCATGTATGCTACAGGGGTGAGACTGGTGTCTTAAGATAACAACTGGCTTCTGGTGTTACTCATTTGTATTTAATACTGATGGAAAGTGGGAGGAGGGAAAAAGGGAAAGAAAGCAGTAAGTAGAAAGTCAAGTATTTAAGTTACTGGTTTAGTAGAGGAGAATGGTATTAGTTAAAGACTTCAACCAACCAGTTCTTCACTCACTTTCACTATTAAGTATGTGTGCTTCTCATAAAATTTTCTGGCCACTCAATTCTTTACCCTCTGATGTATGTCCACATACTGCAAGACCACTAATGCCCACCACTGCAGAGCACCCAAAATGCTGAATTGTATCAAAAATAAACCGTATCTACCCTTTGGTATCATTACCTCCCAACACCAAGATTTTCCATCACTAGATCAACTATTACTCTTTAGAAAGAACGGTACCAAAAATCCAGATGTCACACCATGATATCCTTACAAGAGTAGAAAACACCCAGAAAACCTTTAGTACACTAGAAGACAACCTTTATCAGATTCACATTGATCTATAAAATTCTGACTCAGAATTTATCAACTATCACCAAGTTTAGCACTACATTTTTAACTGGAAAGGGGTAGAGTTAACAATTCATTTAATTTCTGAAAGGTTATGAAAGACTACAGCTTTCACTTCAAGAGGAAAAAGGCTCCATGTGGATTCACAGAGTTAATCATTACTAGATTTGTCCAAATATTTGAACAGTTAAAAAACCCTAGCACTAAAATCTGAATTTAACATCTCCACAGCAGTAGGGTGCCTAAGAAAAACACTCAACTGGATATCCTAAGAGATACTACTTGTATGCCACCACATCTCCACTACTATAGAAGAAAGGCCTGTGTGACAGAAGCCATGTGCTGACTTAGTTTCCTTGCATACCCAGTAAAGAGATATAAAGAAAATGGAGAGAGCAGAGAGGCAGGACTCTCTTTCTAAAGAAGCTGTTCAATCTATCAACCAAAGCCCCAAACATCCCGTTAAACAGAGCTGTCACATTAAACCCTGAAACAAGACATAAATCACTGCCTAACTTTTCTAGAATAAAATGCTCCTTTATCAGCCCAAGATAATAAATATCAAACGATAACTCCAACCAACTTTTGATTTCAACTTTATTTAACAAACACACCTTATTTGTTACTTTCTTTGCCAAGGCTCCCACATCTTCAGCTTGCTTTAAACTTGACTTCCAGATTCTATTCTTTAAAAAGATCGCTTCAGCCACCCCCTCCCCCAAACAACAAACCCCAACACACACACACACACACACACCCCTTCATTTTCCTCCATCTACATTGAAAGTTGTGAGTGATCCAGTCATACATGGGAAGATTTACTCAACTTAGAGTGACTGACTGGTTGCTCTTCAGCCTACTGCACCCCATTCACTCAGTCCCCCCAGCCCTCCCACACACTCATGCACACTCACTCTCAGCCTCCAAGTGTGATTGAGATGGTGTGATAACTACCTCGGGTGACAGGGACTCAGGCCTATTCGCAGGGGAACTCTCAGGGGAGGATATGTTCTAGAGGAGGGAAAAGCATCTTGTTATTCATCTATCCGAAGTCAAGAAGCAGAACAAAACAAACAAAAAAATAAAAGCAAGCATAGATGGTTAGCCACAAGTTTTTGTGGTGGGGGCAAGGGGAGGGAAAAAATGCACAGGGGAAATGTTTAACTGCAGAATTCATCTCAATGGACAGAACAACTGGTTAAAAATGCTTCCTTGGTGTCCTTGAAAACATTTAGGGATAAACTGTTTATAATGTTTCATGCTATAAGTAAACATCCTCAGCAGATAACAGAAAAAATTTAGATTGGTGAAATTGTACACTATAATTTCATTTGAAATTCTGTTCTACATCTGATGACAGTTGATTAGCCTATAGTATTTATTACTGATGGGCACCCTACCACTTATTCCTCCATAGGGAAATCTTTTTCTTTTATCCCACACCTCCTTCCGAAACTATTTCTTCATTCTCCTGTGTGGTTCAGGCCTGCCACCAGTGTCGAGGGAAAGTGCTGGGCATGCTGGGGCTGACAGGGCTAGGGAGATGGCCAGCTCTCCTGCATAACAGTTACAGGACACAGAATGCAATCCAGCTCATAGGCTAGACAGTTCACAGCATAATCTAACTGGGTCTGAACACCCCTGCCTACCAATGTTCTCTGATATGAAAATTCCTGTACTTTTGGGAACAGAGAGTGGGGGGAAGCAGACGGGAACATTTCAAGTCCCTGCATTTTAAACAGGCTTCCCCTTAGAGCTTTCACGTGATGCAGCACTCCCAGAGCACTCAAACAGGAACTGGCCAGTGAACTCTGATGGGAGATCTGAACGGTAAAAAGTGGCCAGAAAGATGGTGGTGGTTGTGACAAGGATTCAGAGTACTAGGGGTAAAGGAAGGGGAGGGTTCCTAATGTTGGAGACCCGGGTGGCAGATCCATTCCATGGGAGGTGAAATGAGGCTGTTAATTTTATTTGGTGGGCTGGGTAGTGTGTAGATACTGGGCGAGGAAGAGAAGGGAAAGGTTATTCTGGTGGAAAGGAGAGGTTAATTAAAATCAAAGTTGCTTTTTATTCCTTTTCTTTGATGCTTCCCCCGCCCTCACGATCTTGTTCTCTTCTACTACATGTCTTCTCCGCTCTTTCTCTTAGCACTGGGGACATTTTTCACTAGGATGATTTTTTTTTTTTCCTTTAAAAAAGATTCTTCCCCAACCAAACTGAGCTTTACCTGTTACACCTTTTTGATATTTCTCTGTGTCATAGTCTTGTATGGAAATAAGGCTTCCTATACTAGAATACAGGAAAAAGCATGGCAGTTAAAATGGTGATAAAGATGGTCAGGATGGTGAAGTCTGTTTTATTGACAAGAAAGATTAAATTTCCTTAGTTAAATCGTGAGACTGAAACAGTGAAAAGAGGCAGTAGACTTTTTGAGGGGATGAATTATTTAATATAATACTTTTATTCCCAGTATTCTAACATTATGCTTAGACTATGCATCACTAAACTGATCTTTGATTTGTAAAATAAAATAAATAAATAAATAAATAAATAGAATACCTTACCCTTGCACAGTGTTTCAGTTATCTAAAATACTACATGGGATTAGGAAATGCACTGAATGCTCAATTTAACGGTCTTGGAAGGTGATGTACCTTCTGATTTCTGTAATTTCACCTTTTTAATTATAATAAAACCTGAAATGATAAAGTATGAAATCTTATGCTTACAATTTGCTGCCCTCCAGGGTGAACACTCTCTTATGAAATTTTACTATTAAATTCTACTTGCTAACTGAAAAATCAAGGCAATTAGACAAAGTAAAGTTAGTAAGGCCTGCATCAGGAGCTTTACTGTATGGCTAATAAGAATGTCACAGCGAATTTGGTAAAGAGTAACTTCTCTATAAATCAAATGTAACCAGGAAGGTTCCCTCTGCTTCCCCACCATCCCCTTGCCAAAGAAGTTTGCTCCCAAAGAAATTAATACAGTCTATTCAGGTACAGAACATAGCTGTTTCCTGCTTTCAAGGTTGCTAGCTACCTCCTTCTGAGTTGGCCATTCAAAAGGACGGGTACTTTTAATCCCTATGCTTTCATAAGGGGTGAACAGGTAGGCAGGCATTGGTTAAAGCATTCATCTTTATCAAAGAAGACATCTAGAGAAATTATAAGCTAGGGGCAGAGCTAAGTTGTTTGGTGAATTTTAAGAAGAAGGAAGAGACTGTTTAATGAATTTCAAATCAAAGCAGCATGCAATAGATTGATTTTTTTTCATACACAAGGATTCTATTCAGTAAACCTATTGTCATCCACACATGAACACGAGAATGTGAATCAGAATTAACTGTTCCAACAGCTAAAATACACATTTCTAACTTAATCCAGAGAGTGAATGTAATAAATATGTCTCTTACAAATACATGTTGTTAGGCTCTTTCTAATTTTTCATTCCTAACACATTGTAACAAGAAGGGAAAGTAACCTGGAGTAGGAAAAAACCCCTCATTTGCCACAAACCATACCCCAAACTTTCTAAATCTCCATTCACTGAGGCCACAGTAAGAATACAGAACAACAGGGAAAGATAGCTCACTCATTTAAAGGCCTAGAAAGAAAGAGAGTCAATCAGTACAATCTGAGCTCTGAAGCTGGTTTCATTAGTGGTTACTAGGCAGCTAGAGACCTATTTTAACCAAGGTATGTAGTAAAGACAAAGATGGATGTTAACATGCTTACTACGGTTATGGAGACTGACGGATTGCATGCAAAAACAGATGAATGTCATCGATGGTAGAACTATTCCTTTTTGGGAAAGTATGGGGACTTTTGGGGAAGATGAGAGGCTACCAGGTAACAGGTCACACCGAAGCTGAGGTTTCTCATTCTCTTGCTAAGACTGGCAGGAACATGGTCAAGAATTATTGGGAATGATATTATACTTGAAACGAAAAGGGCAAATGATAATTTTCATATTCAGCACTCCCGACAAGCAAACCCAAATCACCTCAAACTGCAGAGGAGTATTGCAGCGACTAGCAGTAGTAAGAGACGTGATTGGTGAGAACATGAGGCTGTATCCATTTCGACACTCCTCTTCTGGGTGAGATGGGCCAGATGTGGTCAGCGGGGGGCTCTTTGAGCCTGGAGGATTGGGAGGGGGTGGTGTGACTGGAGAAAGAGGCCGCAGTAACTTGGTGACATTCTGCTCCATCAGATAGCGAGACTTCCATTTCTTTAATGGGCTCAACAAGTCTGTGAAATACAAAGCTTGGATGAGAGACTGAAACCACAGCTTAAAGGGAGGCTCTGTAGTAAAGCCATTAATCTCTAGCCCACAATGGCTCTTAATTCCTTTTCTGCCTCATCCCGATGTTATCTCCCTGCAATCAAACCAAAAGCCAAAGAACTCTCTAATTGCCAAATATAAGTAATTCTCAAAATTCTCTACTGCCCAGAGAATCACCAGATGAATCTGACACTTCTAATGACTGATCTCTGGAACAAATTTAATCTCTTCCAGTGGAAAATATAAACCTCTTTTATTTTTTACATTGAATTTCTAAAAATCTCACTGTCACTTAGTAAAATCACCCTCTACTTAATTGCCATGTGACCAGCTCAAGTTTCTAGAATGTTAACTCCATACTCCTTTTATCTTCTTTTATATATTTCTACCATTTTTTGGTAGAAAATTTTTTGCTTTAGTGGGAAAGAGTTACAAATGATTACCTGACCTATATATCTGGCCCCTAATTTTAGAGTGCTTCAAAGTAGGAAATGATTTTTACAAAAATTTCTCCCAACCATTTTCAAAAATGAGGCTGGTACTCTTTTTCTGATTGGAATATCCTACACTTCTTTTATTTCTTGGGTCCACTTATAAAGGAAACTACTACCCTATATATTTTAATGACCACTCGGATCAAAGCACCTATCTCACTTTCTCAGAGGAAAAAAATCTACGTTTATTCATTTACAGCTAAAAATATTTATTTACTTAATATCTACTATATGGAAACCACTGAATTAGGTATGTAAGGGGAGGTCACCCTATAGTCTATTTAAGGGGATTTACAAATTTGTGAAGATGAGAAAAAGTATGTTTAATATATATTATTTAATGTAGTATTTAAATCATTTAATATAAATAATATAAAACATGCATAATGTAAGTTTAAGAATCTCTATAGAGGATCATACTGCTGTGCATTTGTAAAAAATAATTATGCTTTGCAACTCTTGATCGCAGGGTCCTGAGTTCAAGACCCACATTGATTATAGAGATTACTTAAAAATAAAATCTTAAAAAAAAAAATTACACTTTTAAGTGCTTATTATATGCCAGGCACTACTCTATGTGCTTTATGTGAATTATCAGATTTAATATAACTCCATAAATCCATTTTAAAGATGAGGAATTTGATGTGCAGAGATAAAGACTAGATAATTTAGTTTCATTTACATTCCATTTTTTAAAAAAGATTCTATTTATTTGAGAGAGACAGACAAAGACAGTGAGAGAGCACAAGCAGGGAGAAGAGGAAGAAGCAGGCTCCCTACTGAGCAAGGAGCCCAACTCGGGGCTCGATCCCAGCACCCCAGGATCATGACCTGAGTGGAAGGCAGACTTAAGAGCTGAGCCACCCAGGCGCCCCTCATTTACATTCCTAATCATTATGTCAAAATATATCCCCAAGGCTAAGTGGAAGGAGTGGCATTTATCCCATGCCTTCAAGGACAAGTGCTGGGACAGAAGGCATGCTCAGAGTTATGCTTCAGGATGATTTACTCTGACAGTAACAGTTAGGATGACAATGGGAGACTATTTGGAGTTAAAGGAGTAGTTAACAGTTATGAGTCCTGAACTAGGCTAGCAGATGTGGAAATGGAGAGAAGAATAAATGCCAAAAATACAGGACATGCTTTTTTTCTTTCTGATATGTGAGAATTTCTTATTTTCCTAGACTGAAGTATATTCATATTTTTGTTTTCCAGAAATAGAGCTTTCTGACTTTCCTCCTTTGAAAGATGCTTAGGTATAAAAAAACAAAGATGTGATTCATGACATGTTTAGAACACATTTTTTTTTCAAGATTTTATTTATTTGACAGAAAGAGAGATCATAGGTAGACAGAGAGAGAGGGGGAAGCAGGCTCCCGGCTGAGCAGAGAGCCCGATGCGGGCCTTGATCCCAGGACCCTGATATCACCACCTGAGCCAAAGGCAGAGGCTTAACCCACTGAGCCACCCAGGTGCCCTTAGAACACTTTTTAATGTACTCTGAGAGTAAATCTTAAAGAAAACAAAACAACAAAACAAAACAAAACCCACTGCTATACTGACAGGTCCAACACTAAATACTAAAGGGAATTAGATAAGTAATAAAGCTCACTCTAGGAAAGTTAGAATGTACAGATGAATCCTACCACTTCCAAATCAACTTATAGGTCATTCACTTAAAACATATTTATTGAGTTCTTATTATGGTATAATACTCAACAAAATAAATCTGATATCTGCCCTGATGGAAGCTTATGGGCCAGTGGTCATTTGCCTTTTTCCTACCTATAACACTATACGTTCAAATTTTTTTCAAGTCTTACATCGTTTTTCTTTATACTCAAATAATCTGCAAAACTGTATAAACAAACACCCACATATTTAAACAAACACAAAATTTGAAACGATACCTACAGATTAACGTACTCCTAATATCCTGGTGCATTTTCATCTAGACCTTTTTCTTGACATGGCCTTACTGACCCTTGTCTAACACAGCTCAGTAACCTACAATTTTCATTCAGAAACACGTGGTAAAAAGCATCTAGCAACATCCACATAGTTAAACATTTGCCTTGGGCTCAGGTCAAGATCCTGGGGTCCGAGAATCAAGTCCTGCATCGGGCTCCTTGCTCAGCAGAGAGCCTGCTTCTTCCTCTGCCTGTAGCACCCTCTGCTTGTGTTCTCTGATAAATAAAATCTTAAAAACAAATAAAACAAGGGGTGCCTGGGTGGCTCAGTGGGTTAAAGCCTCTGCCTTTGGCTCAGGTCATGATTCCACGGTCCTAGGATCGAGTCCCATATCGGGCTCTCTGCTTGGCGGGGAGCCTGCTTCCTCCTCTCTCTCTCTCTCTCTGCCTGCCTCTCTGCCTAATTGTGATCTCTGTCAAATAAATAAATAAAATCTTAAAAAACAAAAACAAACAAAACAATAAAACACCCAAAAAACCTGGCCTATTTTCCCTTTATGTCCAAATATACTTCAACTCAAAACATACTTCAGTAGAAGGTAGTAATTCTTCAAAAATCTTTTGTAATTATAGAATTATAATTTCTCCACTGATTTGAAATATGACATTTATCCTATTAGATTCTTGCACAAACTGGGTTTAGTTTTGTACAGTTTTACTGCTAAGTGGCATCAATATTGACATTCATTTTAGTAAAACTTGGGTAATTTCATTTATTCAACTGTAGCTGTCCAAAATATTTTGGCTATTCTAGCATACTTATTCCTGTCAGTGAACTGTTGAAATCATTCACCATGCTGACAGTACTTTCCCCACCAAAGTCAGAATTTTGATTGGTATTGTATTAAACTCAGGGGTAACTGAAGAATTCTCACTCAGCACCTTGGTAACAATTGTTCAGCTACTCATGCCTTCATTTATACTTCTTCATATAGATATGTCATATTTCTTTCTTTCTTTTGTTCATTTATGAGAGAGAGCAAGCAAGCGAGAGCAGGGGAGGGGCAGAGGGACAAGCAGACTCCCTGCCGAGCAGGGATCTAGACTTGGGGCTCCATCCCAAGACCCTGAGATCTGTGTCCTGAGCCGAAGTCAGATGATTGACCAACTGAATCACTCAGGCATCTTGATTTGTCACATTTCTAATTAGGGTTACTCGCCCATGTTTTCTAGTTTTTGTTATCTCTGTGTATTATTACACATATTTCTGTGTTATTAGCTGCACTTTTTTTTTTTTTAAATAGTTACTTGAGAGAGAGCACACATGATTGAGTGTGAGTTGAAGGAATGGCAGAGGGAGAGAGAATCCTCAAGCAGACTCCCTGCTGAGTGCAGAGCCTGAATGAGGGCTTGATTCCATCTGAGCTTGACTCTAGGACTCTAAGATCATGACCTTAGCTGAAATCAAGAGCTGGGTGCTTAACCAACTGAGCCGCCCAGGTGCCCCTCTACATGTTATTTTTAACATGTAAGAAAATGTTTATCTTTGTATCTAGCTACCAGTGTTTTAGTAAACTCACTTGGCTTTTCTAGGTAGATAAAGCACATTATTTGTACAACATACACATCCTCTTTACCTGTACTTTTATCTCACAGATTTTTTTTTTGGTACTCACATTGTCTAATAATTCTAGACATTGTTAATTAATATAAAAGGGGGATAATCTGATAACCCATTTTTTAAAATAGATTTTATTTATTTATTTGACAGACAGAGATCACAAGTAGGCAGAGAGGCAGGCAGAGAGAGAGGAGGGGAAGCAGGCTCCCCACCGAGCAGACAGCCCGATGCGGGGCTCGATCCCAGGACCCTGGGATCATGACCTGAGTTGAAGGCAGAGGCCTTAACCCACTGAGCCACCCAGGCGCCCCTCATAACACATTTTTAAAATATTATAATTTTAATTGAAGTACAATTTAGTACACAGTATTAATTTAGTTTTGGTGTTTTTGATAATGCATTTTAAGGTTTAATACAAAGTTTTCACCATTAAGCATAACTGGCAACTATTTTTCAGAAGGATGTAAAAAAAAAAAAAAAAATCTAAGATGGGGGGCCTGTGTGGCTCAGTTGGTTAAGTGTCCAACTTTTGGTTTCCACTCAAGTCATGAGCTCAAGCCCTGTACAGGGCTCCACACTCAGCACAGAGTCTGCTTGAGGTTCTCTCTCCCTCTCCCTCTGCTCCTCTTCCTGCTCCTCCTCTTTCTAAATCTTAAAAAAAAAAAAAAAAAAAAAAAAAGGTTATTATAGGCATCTTATTTTACTAGATTTATCCTTAAATTAATATTTACTGTACTATTACTCCCCCTCCTCCATTTGGCCTGCTAATAAATTAATTATATGAATAATTTTTCAAATACTAAACCATCCGTATATTTGTAGGAAAAATTTCATTTGGTCATAATATACTTTTATTTTGATATTCTTACAGATTCAAGATTCAGATCACTGAAATTTAACTTAAAAGTAGTAAGATGTTGGGGTGCCTGGGTGGCTCAGTGGCTTAAAGCCTCTGCCTTCATCTCGGGTCATGATCCCAGGGTCCTGGGATCAAGCCCCGCATCGGGCTCTCTGCTCAGCAGGAAGCCTGCTTCCCCCTCTCTCTCTGCCTTCCTCTCTGCCTACTTGTGATCTCTGTCTCTCAAATAAATAAATAAAATCTTAAAAAAAAAAAAGTAGGGGCGCCTGGGTGGCTCAGTGGGTTAAGCCGCTGCCTTCGGCTCAGGTCGTGATCTCGGGGTCCTGGGATCGAGTCCCGCATCGGGCTCTCTGCTCGGCAGGAAGCCTGCTTCCCTCTCTCTCTCTGCCTGCCTCTCCGTCTACTTGTGATCTCTGTCAAATAAATAAATAACATCTTTAAAAAAAAAAAAAAAAGTAGTAAGATGCTGTTTTGGTGGGTTAGTTTGACAAAATAAAGGGTGAAAAATTTTAATAAAACTGTATAGTATATAGTATATACATGCATATGGTATGCTATGTGCACCCAAAAGTATGTGCACATAGCAAATAAACAAATTTTACCACTCCTTTAGTGCTTGAAATCCTGCTTTTTATTCTCTACATTTTTGCAGTTATTAATAATTCGACAACTAGTACTTAGTACAAAACTTTTTAGTCCATATTTATTTCTGTAGAACAACTACGTTAGGTGGTTTTTTTTTAAAAGTTTATTTCTTTACGTCATCTCTAACTCCAGTGTCGGGGCTGGAACTCATGACTCTGAGATCAAGAGTCACATGCTCTACTGACTGAGCCAGCCAAGCAACCCAGAGTATTAGTCTTTTTAATACATTATATTAAACCTTAGCAAATTGCTAGTAGTAGGAATATTATTCTCCTGCCATTTTTATTGCAAATCCTTTCTCTTTTTTTTTTTTGCAAATCCTTTCTCTTAATAGACTTCTCCTCTAGGGGCGCCTGGGTAGCTCAGTGGGTTAGGGCCTCTGCTTTTGGTTCAGGTCATGATCCCAGGGTCCTGGGATCGAGCCCCACATTGGGCTCTCTGCTCAGCGGATAGCCTGCTTCCTCCTCTCTTTTTGCCTCTTTGCCTACTTGTGACCTCTGTCTGTCGAATAAATAAATAAAATCTTTAAAAAACATAGACTTCTCCTCTATTAAACTCTATATAATATTTAGACAATATAGACACAGAAACTTTATTCAAGTTTGACTTAAAAAAAAAATTCAATGTGTCTAGAACTTGTTTTGGCAAGGATCTAATTCTTTTTAATCCCTCAAGTAAAGTAAAAATTCCAGAACAATTTAGCAAATATTTCATTTACCTAAGACCTCTTTCTGGCTATTCTATCCCATACACACACATACACTCAGGCACCAGTACTATTCTAATTTAAGTATTAGCTTCCGGCTTCATATTAGAAACTAGTTTTGGGTTTTTTTGAGAGAGAAGGCAAGCGAGGGGGAATCTTAAGCAGGTTCCAAGTTCAGCGCAGAGCTCTAGGTAGGGCTTGATCTCACTATCCTGAGACCATAACCTACGCTGAAATCGAGACATATACTTAACCAGATGAGCCACCCAGGTGCCCCTTAGAAACTAGTTTTGTACTGCTAGGGAAGGCACTTCTTTGCCTTTTTATTTTCTTCTTTTTTCTTATCTTCATGTTTATTTAGAGAAACTTCATTTAATCAACTTCCATAATGAGCTACTTTGATGGGAACTATATTAAACTGGGGATGGGAGGTGGGGAAGGTGGGTGAGATACTACAGTTATAATTTTCGTTAAGAAATATAGACTTTATCTTCAAGACTTTATAAACATATTTCTCAGCAATGGTTTACTCCACACATTCCACTATGGTTATTCCCATGCAGTTTCTTAGTTTTGTTAAGTCTGGGAATGAAAAAATTTTCTTCATTCATTTTATTAGTACACATATGTTATTAATTTTTGCATATGTACCTTCTATCCAGTGGTTTTACTAAAACTTTTTTTTTTTTAAGATTTTATTTATTTATTTATTTGACAGAGAGAGAGATCACAAGCAGGCAGAGAGGCAGGCAGAGAGAGAGGAAGAAGCAGGCTTCCCGTTGAGCAGAAAGCCTGATTTGGGGCTTGATCCCAGAACCCCGGGATCATGACCTGAGCTGAAGGCAGAGGCTTTAATCCACTGAGCCACCCAGGTGCCCCGGTTTTACTAAACTCTTATTAAATCTAAGTTTATCAGATGATTAGACTTTACTAGGTACATATCCACACCATTTGCAAACAATGAACATTATGCCCTCTCCTTCCTGAAGAGTAATTTTATTTTTTATTCCTTTTTTTTTTTTTAAAGATTTTATTTATTTATTTGACAGACAGAGATCACAAGTAGGCAGAGAGGCAGGCAGACAGAGAGGAGGAAGCAGGCTCCCTGCTGAGCAGAGAGCCTGATGCGAGGCTCGATCCCAGGACCCTGGGATCATGACCTGAGCCGAAGGCAGAGGCTTAACCCACTGAGCCACCCAGGCGCCCTTATTTTTTATTCCTAATCAAGTTTAGATTTTAGGAACTTAGCATCTTTAATGTACCTTAGTATCTGACTAATTTCTGTAAACATTTCATAAATGCTCAACAAGAAAGAGTATTTTGTGTAGAATAATGTTAGTAATAATTCCTGTTATGGGTTTGATACTACTCTAACCACTTTACATACATTATTTAACTCACTAATCTCATATAAGCTCTATAAAACAGGTATTATCATTCCCATTTTAGAGAGGAGGCTCAGAGATGCTTAGTAACTTGCCTAACATCACGAACTTAGTAAAGGGTAGAGCTGGTTTTCAAATTCAGGTCCACTGGATTCTTTCTACTCTACCAAAACACTTCCCTTTCTCTGACCCTCCCCCTCTACCAGAGGGAGGAAGGGGTGGGGTGGGGAGAGGAACAGGGTGGGGGGTGGAGAGAAGGGAGGATCTTAAGCAGGCTCTACATTCAGCACAGAGCCTGATGTAGGGCTTGGTCCCACAACCCTGAAATCATGACCTGAGGTGAAATCAAGAGTAGGGTGCTTAACCAACTGAGCCACCCAGACACCCCCACTTCACTTTCTTGATTAACATCTCCTTGGTCTTTTTGAAAAAACATAACCAGCAAATAAAAATAATCCCTCAGGATTTATACTAACTTGCAGCAATATACCATCATTCATTTGACTACTGCTTGGTTTAATTAAATATTTTCCTTTTGGTTATGTTGCTCCTTAAGGGCAAGGTGTGTTCTTCAAATGTTTCTCACTGCTAGAGACCAGAGCAAAAATTCAATAAAGCTTGGTGACTAATAGTCCTAATTCCATTCCAACCAGGCATGTAGTAACAAGGACAGTTTGCCTATGAGTCTTTGCTAGTCAGGACATGAACTGTTATACAACCTTCCTTTCCCAAACTCAAATACAAAACACAAATGCAAGTGTGCCTAATTATGTATATTAGATGGAAGATTTAAGTTATACTCTCACTGTACTGTAAAAGCTTCCAATAAATTGCTAATATTGATGGAAATCTGGTATCAGCATTTCTTTGTATTTGTCTAGTTTGAGTAAATCTCTCTAATCTTTGATGTAGAAGAAGGGTAAAATACTTTAAGAATAAAGACAAAGATAAGATAAATAGTATCATTTATCTTCCAGATGTTCACACTGGGGTTTTATTATCCTGGGGTTATACACGTGAAAATTTGTAACGTATAATCCAAATTAGAGATAGAGGAATTAACTAAGTTAATAATTTGAAAAAAAAATTTTTAGCAGCTTACTTTTTTCCACATATACTATTACACAGAATTTTAATATAAAGCAGATATTATTAGTACAAATCTATTTAAATTCATATTTAGTCACAGGCAATGAACAGAAACAGTGAAGTAGTTTTTAATGAAAATCTGAAATATTACATCATGTTAGCTGTGACCTTTAGCATCTATTTTATTTTTTTGATTACATAATATTCACAAAATTTATTTAGAGATAAACTTATGGAAGTCACAGAGAACTTTTCAATTAAGCTGAAATTGGCAGGAGAAACTTTGGTAAAAAGACTGGTGCCAAAATAAGGTAGCCTCACAAATTCATGTACCAGCGCTCTCAATTGCAATTCAATTAAAATTACAAATTTTACAATTCTTTTACAAATTCTTACAATTTTTTAGGACCTTCTAATTTAAAAACTCACAGGGACTTTATATTGGATTCAAAGCCATGTCTCCTAAAAAATTTTGCACTAATTGTGTAAGCCCTTTTGAAAACAATACCATTTTAAGGATTTCTCATTTACTTCATTCACCCAAGCCCCACCCCACTCAATCTTGTGTAATCTTTACTGTTTCCTCAACAGCACCCCACATCTTTCTTGCTTATTTCTCCTCTTATAAACATGGATATAGATTTCCTAAACTTACTACTTTAAACGTATCTAACCTTTTTTTAACCATTTCTGCTGTTATCTGTACACTGTCTAGTTCCTTCTTTGTCGGCGTGGGAAAACTGTTCCCTGACTTGAGATCTCTCTCTTCCTCTGTAAAGACAGATGTAAAGTAACTATTTAGATAACAATTTTTTTTAAATCAAACTGTTCAAATACTCAAACTGAATTTTTTTATGTTGACCTGAAATAATCATTGCTCATGTATTCAGGAAGGTTTGAGATACGTACCTGCATTGTCTTTGCAGATACTAGAAGAGTTACTATTCTCATTACTTTGGTATAGATGCTGAGTTCTAGTCTCTTGGGGTACAGATGATGTTTGAGTCATCCCTTCTTCCAAGGCTTGCTTTATCCAGCGCTACAATGGGAAAAGAACCAGGGAATTATCAATAATCATTTAAAACTACTTAGTAAAGCTATTTCAAATACATTAACCGGATCATTACATATCAACTGGTGAGAGATGCACTCCAACACACTCACTGAGTTCCACAGTCAAGTATTTTTTGTCTTGCGTTTCAGCATATTAGAATATTGCCCCATCAATTCCTTCTATGGGGCAAAATTGAGAAAATCTGGACTATACATAATGAGATCCCATCAAAAAACCAAAACCAGTAAAAAATGATTACTATTCAACTTTTCATATTGTTTAGAACGGGGTAAATTGTAAGAGATTAAGAAATCTTAGCTTTCATTTGAGAGAGAGACTTGATCATATAGGATAAAACTAGTACATAAATAAGTGCCTCAAAGGGAAGATAAAAGATCTCTTAAGAGTTGTCTACCCTGTGCTGGGGACATCTGAAGAGATAATAGAAAAGATTCACAGGAAGACTCTGGATGAGAATAAACCGCTCTTCAATACAGGTACAAAATACTTCCAAAAGGTCTACTCTCAGATGGAATAACCTGTGAGTTTTTTCTCCCTACTAAGTACTTCAGTTAAATTAGGCCAAGAATAATGCAAATCACCAGAATAAATGAAGTTTTGCAGAAATCAAAAAGGGGAAAAGTCAAAAAGAGCGCTCTAATCAGTCACATTTTTTTGTAATGAATACTAGAATCTAAAATGATGAGATACAAATTCAGGTCAGAAAGTGAGTCTGCAAAGATTAGGATAACAAGATTATTCATCCTGGGGAAGAGAGAAAATTTCTTACCTGTAATTGTGTTCTCTTAAGATACACAGTTGTAGGTTGCTGACCACTCTGTGGCTCTCCTGCCCTGACATAAGACAGATCGAATTTTGATAAACATCAATTTCTGAATCAGACCCTCCCCCAAATAGGAAGAGCAATGGTGATTATAATTTCACACCTTTAGAGAACAAGTATTACAGGTAAGTAAATATTCTCTTCACTGAAGAGAGCAAATAGATTTACTCTCTTAGAAACTTGGGAAATAATGCGAGGGCAATTTCACCATGAAAAATTTTAGATCATGTAAATAAATGGCTTTGTGGTCTAGCAAATGAAAGCAAAAATAAAACTGTAAACACGAGGCAATAAGAGTGAATAAGCATATAAAAGAGATCTCAACAGTCAGTTGAATCGTTATCAACATTTTATGAAATGACCAGATCTTGGAAAAGCCAAAACAAGACCATGAATGAACTCGCTTACACAGAATACTGACATCAAGATGAACTGTCAGAACCACAGCACCTTACAACTTAGAAGAGACCTTGGAAGTCACCTTGTCCAAAGTACTCATTGTACAGATGGGGAAAACTAAGCCCAGGAGGACAAAATGAGTGAAAAATCCTTTGTTACAGATACCTCAAATACAAGTTTTTCTTTTCAAAGCAGATGACAGGACTCACTTGGGGGTCACTGTGCTTTCCTCCAAGAGTAGATAATTTCTTAAATTTCCAGTGTCAAGTAGATGCACGCATAAAAGAATTTAAACTCTGGATCTCATGACTACACAAAGGGAAAATAAAACCAGGACAGGGGCATTCTAAGGAGTAAGATGCTGCTATGGTTAGCTATAAGGTCAAACATAGCAAATACGAGCAAACCCATTTCTCCTGGCCCTTCTGTATGTCTATGTAATATTTTAGAGTTGACAAAAAAAAAAAAAAAGAACTTGAACATTTGCTTGTAACTAACAAGTTCCATAAAAACAAATTAATTTTAGATGCCCTTAGCACCTCAGTTCTAGCTACAGTTATTAGGTCAAAAGGATACTTCCTCCTCCTCCAAAACTCTGTATAAGGGTCTTTCAGAAGCTCAGAGATAGGTAAGAGAAATGTTTTGACAAGTCTCATTACCAAGGGGAAGGAGCAAAGAAGTAATTTGGGTTTTGGAGTCCAAAGATCTGGACTGAAATATGACTGCTGCCTAACTCTGGGCAATCCGTCTCAGCCAAAGTTTCAAGGCCAATAACCCAACTTCACAGGGTTGTTACGAAGGCTAAGTGAGAATGCATATGAAGAAAGCTCATAGCTTATCACCAGGTGCACATATTCAGTGAGGACCTGTTCAACTGAGTATAGAGATACACAGATTATATAACCCCCTCCTGTATACACAATAAAATACCAATGCAAAGCTAAGTATTTTAGTTTCAGTCAGGATGGTTTTCTTAGAAATCTGGAAGACCAATCTCCCTCTAACCCACATATATTATACCTACAAAGTTGAAGCTCAGAGAAGATTTAGAGAGAACAAAGAAGGACACTACTGAAAGGCTTACTGGCCACTCATAAAATCAATGTTTCCATTCTAAAGTAAGTGAAGACCCAATACAAGATAAGCCATAATGTGCTTTTTAAGAACTATGATTCATTATAATTTAGAGACTCCAGGGACATCAAAAATGTTCTGTCAAACACCCTAAGAATCTGGAAGCAAGTATACAACATGCAACTTTACATAGTTTTTATTTATGAGGCTTTTACATCCTTTAATCAGATAAGAAACAGTATGCCTATCAGCAATACACACCGCTCTAACTAATCCCAAGGGTGGTTTTTCTCATCTAACATATTCTTCTCTGAGAAATTTTCAGAAAACTAACAATTTTGTTGAATAATGCAGATCTTCTTAGGTCCTACACTAGGACTGAAGCATCCTTTCTACCGATCTAAAAAATAACTCTTTTCCATCCCTACCTAGAATAAAGCAGAGTTCAATTTCTAGGTAAAAAGCCCCAATTTCATTAATTTTGTGCTATAAAGAGTGAAATTTTTATTCTATAATATCATCTGTATGTTAACAGCAGATATTAAGCCTGTGACTTAACCTAATTCAGATCTAAACTTAAAAAATTTTTAAAGACCAAATTTAAGTGAGATAATCTTGCTAGATAACTCAGCATACATATCCTGAACTCTTCCTGAAGACTAATATGACATACAGAGATAAAAGTGCCTGAGCAGAGCCTGCAGAAAACAAGACTAAGGATGGTCAGACACATCTGGAGAATAAAACATGGACATGAGTTAAATGGGACTTTTATCTGTTGCCAGTGGAGATAACAAAGATGAGCTATAGATACAAGTCCTAAATTATATGAGGTAAAAGAGTTCTAAAAAATGGATTTTCTATCAGATTTGAAATCAAATTCGTACATGTTTTTGGTTTTTACAGGACTCTGCTAGCTAGAAAATCAAGACAGGAAGAGAAAGATTATAACCTGGCTTCAGAATGATTAAGGTGGCATTTCAAGAGGCTAGTCCATACTGCTTACAATTCAGACTTCATTATCAATCTGTACTAAATAACTGTCTACCCTTCTCAAAGGAGCAAAACAGGAGATCCTATTGTCTGGCTTGATAAGATGCTTCAATAGTTAACATCCTTAGAAGTCTAGTATTACGTCCAGCCAAATACAGAACAAAAAGAAAGAACTTCTCTTATATATATGTATGTGCATGTGTGTGTGTGTGTGTGTGTGTGTGTGTGTGTGTACACATATATATGTAGTCATCACCTGACTTGCTCCTCCAAACTAAAGACCATTATATGCACCTTCTCTAATTGTTCAACAGCACTCTAAAAATGTAGTTAAGATTTTGAGCCGTTACTCTTTATGAGGGACTGAGCTAAATGTAATAGGAAGATTAGTTTTGCATGCCATACCAGAATTAACTCTCTAATTATTACAGAATAAGGTTAATCATAATGCTCATCAAATGCAAACAATTTTTTTCCTTCTCAGATGATCTCTGAGATCCAAGGTAAGTGACTTGGTATAAAAATTTATCCCCAGAGACCCAACTCTCCTATATCACTAATTTCTAGTCGTTTTTTTTTCTTAAGAAAGATGTCATTGTTTTTATTCTTGACACCTGCAAGTTATTCATGTGATTGTGTTATGTACAAAGCCTCTCTTTTGGCAAAGATCTCATGGTCAAATTTTTCCTTAGGGGTTATTCTACTTGGGAATTTCCCCCAAATAAACCATTAAGTGACTCAAATACTTAGATAAGATGTGCAGTTAGGAAGACTTTCTTCAGTGTATGCTACCCATTCGGTGGTAGTGCCCTTCCTTGTGCACAGAACCCTGTTGCCCTCCTCCCCTCCATATCCCACACCACTTTATCTCATCTTTCATACCCCCCACCCCCAAGAAATAATTTCTGCTCTTTGGGAAAAGAGAAAAGCTTTAAGTTTGGAGGAGTCAGGGAAGACCTGCCTGGAGTTGGAGACTTCATCACATCAAATAATCTATATGCAGCATCCTCATGTACGTGATGCCAGTGGAGGAGGGCAATGGCAGACACTGAGGAAGGCAGCCTGAATCCAGATCTGAGGATAAGAGAAAAGGGTGTTCCAGGGAACAGACTCTACCTCAAAGGAAGACCAAATGAAAGGGTGTCCTAAACTTCTAGAAACATAAAAATGACATTATAGGTCTGAGGGAAGTGATCTATTCCCAAGAGACATCTTTGGAAAATATGCAGGGCTTCTGGGAATTCCAAAAGAGCATTCCAAAACAACCATCAAACACTACTGCCACTAGATCCAAAAACAATATGTAACTAGAGAGACAGTGGGGAGAGGGGGATAGAGAGAGAAAAAGAGAGAGAGAGAGTAAATTTTAGAGCAGGTTCCGTATTTACTAGGGAATAAACAGTCCAACTTGTTATTTGATCAAGTATCAGAAAATATGCCAATTGTAACAGGACCTTTCCTCTACTCTCACTCAAATGATAATGTAATTAAATTAATTCGGATCACAATTCAATCATTTTTTACTTACGCAATAGTGCTCTAGAGTACCTGGGGCCCAATCTCACACGGTAATCACAAATGGACATATTAACCAATACCACAAGAGCACACACAGAACATCCCTCCCTACCCAGTCATCAACTGCTGTGTGCTCTCAACTCAGTATTTCAAGGGCTCTCGGAAAAGACAACAGTGAATCCTCACAAACTGAGCACCAAAAATGTAGTATACATCCCGCTTTCGTCCCACTGACTCTTGGTGCATCACTATTCATGGCTGAAACTAACTCATTATAAACTCACATGGGCAGAGAGTGGCTATCTAGAAAATGTTAGGTGTGTCACAATTAGAGGCATCCTAGGTTAAAAAAACAAAAACAAAAACCAAAAAAAAAACCAAAAAACCCACATAAACACAGACATACCTTTTTACAGGAGCTGAAGGTGCCGTCAGGCAGAAGGGGCCTTCGACGTCTCTCAGGGATAAAGGGTGAGCCAAAGCGAATGTAGTGTTTGGGGGTGGTGCAAATTAATGGGGAATGGATAAGACCGGGTAACATGTTCAGGGTTGTTGCCAGTACAGTTGGGTCCGTGGTGATACGTAAAGGGCACTCAACAGGGCATTCTTGCTTCTCTGCTTTGTCATTCAACCATTCTGTAACTAGATACTAAGGTAGAAAAGAGATCATTAGTTGGTGCTGTAGATGTAAAAGCCAGAAGCAGCAGTAGAGCTCAAAGACAAACCTCAGCTAGAAACTAGGACAGAGGTAGATACAGCAGCTGCAGAAAGTATGAACTAGGCATTCAGAATGCAAAAATATCTTCCTTTACCCTCTCCATGATCATTAAGGGAGCAATAATTCCAGTTATCAGCAATTTAAGCTCTGCCTAAAAGTTAAGGGAACAAAAGAAAGGTAGTAGGATGGTTTCAGCTTGCTGCCTCAAAGCTTTTTATCTACAACTTTTCAATCTAATAATACTTAGGTGCCTTTTTCTGGAGATTACAGGTCCTCTCACCATACTAAGACAGCCCTTGCCAGACCAGACTTATGAAGATGTATTTATGACTTACCTTTTTGGTTTTGGGGTATTTAGGTGCAGCACGGTTGACATGGGATCCAGTAACTGATACCACAGTTGGGTCAGACCCCATTAATTGCCTGTTTTCTCCTGAACTGTCTATATTTCCAGCTTCAGTAGGAGTTACAGAGCTATTATTTCCTCCTTCTTCCAAGGCAGCTTGTGCCAACTCTGCCTGTTGTGCAATGGCCTGCTTCTGACGCTTTAGTCTTTGGGCTGAACTGGTCCGGTACCGAGAAATTCGACTCTTCGGTCGGGGCCTAGAAGGCTTTGCTGGAGGTGGCTTGGGGACTGGTTTTTCTGCAGCAACATCCTGTAAGAGCAGAGTTAAATGCTTACCAGAAATTTCTTATCAGCAAACATTCCATCCAGTCTTCTATTCACTTTAAACATTCTGAATATTTAGTATTTAGAAACACTAATCTCAAATGTAATCCTTAAAAACTTACACCATCAGCCAAAGAGCCTATAGGCAGATATCTATTTCTTTACTAGCAAGTATTTATAAAATAGGTCAAAAGTCAACTGAAAGTAGCTACCTATTTTAGGGTTCTTAGCAGGGAAGGTAATTCTTTCCTTTATTTCTTTCCTAGGTACTGAGGTTTTGCTTAGGCTGTGAATTCATGGCCAGGGTAAGGAAAGAAAAGATTAGTTTATCCTGAGAATCCTACGAAAGGTCAGGTGCCTAATTGTGCTATACAGAAGAGCCAAAAGAGATATGGAATGATTTTTATGAATTCACCACGGTTTTTTTTGTTTTGTTTTATTTATTTATTTGATAGACAGAAATCACAGATAGGCAGGCAGAGAGAGAGGAAGGGAAGCAGGCTCCCCGCTGAGCAGAGCCCGATGTGGGGCTCGATCCCAGGACCCTGGGATCATGACCTGAGCCGAAGGCAGAGGCTTTAACCCACTGAGCCACCCAGGTGCCCCGAATTCACCACAGTTTTATCTGGCAGAAATAGTATGAAGTTATATTCTAGTCTAAAAGTGTCTTGTCAAATTCTGTCTCCCTGAATTCCACAAATCAGCTGAGGAAAATGGCTTTATTTACTGCATTATGAGGTGAAGCTGAAAATGCTGTTGTTGACTATTCCACAAGATAGATAACTGACATTTGCAAAAGCAAGGATGTCTAAGGCCTGGAGTCTTTTCATCTCTTACCCCTGCTTGGGAAGACCTCCGGGTGTTCACTCCAACACTCTGTGGGGTGCTTGGGATGGCCATGTTTGAAGCAGGGTTGCTAACTTCGGGTTCAGGGGCTTCAGTTTTTGCCTCTTCTCCCACAAGGGCCTCTGAAGTGGTGGTAGTAATCTCTACGTCAGAGCTGCTTTGTTCCAAGGGCTGATCCCGCCGCTTCTTTCTTTTCTCTAAGTTTTCAAAAGCATGCATGATGGCTTCGACCTTCCTATCTTCCCGGGTCTAGAAAGAAATGCCATTAACATAGAAGGAAGCTTCAATAGGACATGGGGTATTTTTTCAGAAACGTTATTAATGGAAATTCATACACATTTAAAGACATTTGCCAGTAAAATGATACACATATTTTAGAGAATAGAAGTTAAAAACTAAAAGTAAAACATTTGTTTTTTAAAAAAAGATTTTGTTTTAGAGAGTGAGTGAGTGAGAGAGAGAGAGAGAGAGAGATAGCATGCTCAAGTGGGGGAGGGCCAGAAGGAGAGAGAGAAAATCCTAAGCAGATTCTACAGTGAGCACAGAGCCCAATGAGGGGCTCAATCTCTTGACCCTGAGGCCATGACCTAAGCTGAAGCCAAGAGTCAGAAGCTTAACTGACAGAGCCACCCAGCCTCCCCTCAAACATTCTTTAAATGTTGGAAAGAGCTGTAGGAAAAGGCAAGGTCAAATCTAAACTTTTCAAAATGGTCAATTAATTTAAAACTTTTTAATGTAAAAGAAAAAACCACCAAAACCAATTTTTCAAAAAAAAATATTTTTTTTTTCTCTTCATTTTTGGAATTCAAAAGTAACAAAGTAGACCTTTCACTTCTCAGGACCACAACTAAACATGGCTGACTTCAGCAAGAGTAGAACTTCTGAATCCATGTGACCAAAAGTTTTATTTTTATGTCAAAACTCACACAAGTCCAGAACAAGGAGCCCAAACACATGTATTTTGTTCCAACCAGGCAGTTCTTTGGAAACTAGATTGTTAGTAAGAAACCTCTTAAGACCGGGGCACCTGGGTGGCTCAATGGGTTAAAGCCTCTGCCTTCGGCTCAGGTCATAATCCCAGGGTCCTGGGATCAAGCCCTGCGTCGGGTGCTCTGATCCATGGAGAGCTGCTTCCCACCCCACCGCCCCCCGCCTGCCTTTCTGCCTACTTGTTATCTGTCTGTCAAATAAATAAATAAAATCGTAAAAAAGAAAAAAAAAAAGAAACCTCTTAAGACCATCATTAGGGTGCCTGGGTGGCTCAGTGGGTTAAGCCTCTGCCTTTGGCTCAGGTCATGGTTTCAGGGTCCTGGGACTGAGCCCCACATCAGGTTCTCTACTCAGTGGGGAGCCTGCTTCCCTGCCCCCTCTCTACCTACTTGTGATCTTTCTGTCAAATAAATAAATAAAATCTTAAAAAAAAAATCATTAGATAAGTCACTAGATAACTACTGTATGTGTGTGTGTGTGTGATAAAACTAAATACATAAATAATAATAAAATCTCCTTTATTAAAAAAAAAAAAGCCCCAATTGTCTTGTGCAGGTGATGGTATAGTATTTTGTTAAAGAATGAGCAGATACAAACTCAGAAGAGAAGGGGTTCGTAAGCCATAGGTAGCAGAAACCAAAGGATGTTAGAAGGTACCCACCCTTCTGCTATGAGCTGGGTTCTCCTGGTCATCTGTAACCTCTTCTTTCTCCTCATCTGCTTTTTCTTCTGGATTGTCTATTTCCTTTAAAACAGAGGTGATATTCAGCTGTACTCAGGCTCTAAGAAAAAGCAGTCTGTTTTTTCTTGGTAGCTAAAACTCTCTAGAAACAATCTCTAGTGTTATTCATGTGAGTAAATGCAGATGATAAGCACTATTCTCTGAACTGAAATGTGGAAAGCAGTTGAGAGAATGTTCTTGACATTATTAAAAAAAAAAAAAAAAAGGAAAGACAATGAATAATGTCACCCCCACCTTGATATGAAGGGCATTAAATGTTATCATAGACTCCCTACATATAACAACATGCGGCAACCAGGATCCTCTTTATTTGCAGAGAATCAGAACCACAGCAACATTCTCTGATGAGGGAAAGATTACCTCATGGTCACTGGACACAACTGCTTTTTCAGGAACTTGTTCTGGTTGCTGACTGTTATCCTCTTCTGGAGCCTCATTCTGCTGCTCCATCTCTAGCTCTTTCCGTCGTGCTTTCCTACGTCTTGTTTCTGCTCCGATGGTGGGTAAGCTTGGAGGAGGTGGGAGTGGTGGTTCTGCAGCATTGGGATTCCTTTTCTGTATAGGGCAATTCCGGTTCCCCTTGTGACACGCACAGTCCACTTTATAATTACTGCTCCAAAGAAACAACCGAAAGTGACTGTGTCAGCAGCCTTGCAAAATCAGTCATACTGTCCATTCATTCTCTTGGAGTAACAGTATAGTAATTTCCTCTAGTATTATCTTTGAATAAGTTAAACAGACACATTAGAGTCCTGTGAATATTTTTCAATATTCAGTGTTTTCCTATATAACCCTAACTCTTCCCCTACATACATATGGTCAGTGGAAAAGAAAGAAACCCTCACAAAGTTCAGTTCTCCCTAATACCTTTATGATACTTAGTGGGCAGTGAATCAATAATAGGGGCTGAAAAGGCTATACTTCCCCTGCATCTACCTCCACCTTCTCCTCACTTTTGAACTACTGATTCCGTACTATTCTTGATTCCTTTTCTTCTCCTACCTGGGCTGAACATCAATTTACCATATAACCTTTTTGGCCTGAGAAGACCAAGGGAGAAAAAGCATCCATTTTATAAAATCTATCACATATTTATCTGTAACTTGCCATTTCTACTTTTCTGCCTTGTCACATTCAGATAGATTTACATGGTTTGAATGGATGGGGCAAATTTTAAAATTTTCATTCTATATGGTCCCTGGAATAGCACTGTGTGCAAAACAACAGATCCTACTGCAATTTCTAGGTGTCTCATTCCTACCCTTTTTACTGTTTTTCTATAGAGCTATGAAGACAAAATACCTTTGGTTAGGAGACTGGTAAGCAATGACATACTATGTATTTGAATCTCTAGAAAAAGCTGCCCTAAGTCTGTCTTTCCCTACACAATTTATAGACCAAAATTGTATTACATGAGAAAAGCTTAGGTTAAAAAAAGGAAATGACAAGGAACAAAAACAGACCAACAGAAGAGCCTAATATGTACAACAAGACCATTCATGTAGGAAAGATTTTGTAGGTCTTACCAGTTACTGTACTCATAGTCAAATGCTATGGTGACCTCAGCATCTTTGGTGATGGCAGACACCGCATAGATACACAGGTGAATCATCCCATCTGCAATCATGTGTCGCACCTGTGTGAACATGGCTTACAGTTGATGATTTACCATAAAGACCAGGAACTTTCCATAAGACAGAAAAAAACCTTTTGACAAAATAATTTTTCTCCACATAAGTTATGGTAGTCTTACTTACGTAACTCCATCATTTCACATGAAACTATTACACATTAACTGTTTGAAAATTTATGATACTTCTTGAAATAAATGGAGAAACCTTGAAATGTTAGAAATTGGGGTAAGATCTCTACACCTTAAAGCTGTTTTCAGTTGCATCAGAGAATTAAAATTCCTTAGCCTGTTAAAAGCTCTGTGGATTTTCTTGCTGCATTTGATGTAGCTGTGCTGATTATGCACTGAGTAATGAATTCTAGAAATGTCTAGAATCTAAATCTAAAACATTATTACCTAAAATCTAAAAAAGTGCAACTACACAGCTTAGTTTGGCCTAATGATATCTTCTATCATACAGTAATTTCTTTAATATGATCTCAATTTCTTATCCAGTCTAGCTCTTTCTCCTTAGCAAATACTAAATTTGCTTTTTCCCATTTCTTCCTTTGCTAAGGAAACCTATTCCTTGCCCCCATCCAGTGAGAATAAAAGCATCATTACTTTTTTGGGGGTCTCTTATGATAAAAGATCATAATTATTATCTACAGACCTTAATTTAATCTGGGTGAAGTTTTCAGACTGCCTCTTCAGTTGACTTGTCCTTTGATGGTTCCATTCAAAGAGAAGTTGCTACAGAAATCTTACCTCTGCATTTGGTGTACATGATCTTCTGATGAACCGAGCATCATTACCGAAAGTACGTGCATCCACACACATCTCTACACCATTGAATTTTGAGTAGAAGAGCACAAAGGGGTATGGTCTAAGGGATATAATTGAAATTCCTGTAATTCTCAACACAAATAAAAAGGGCCACCCCATGACTTCACCTCAAATATGAAGCATATGCTGACAGAAGAGGCAGCAGTCCTTTGCAATGCCTGAACTTGAAAAACATCACGTTTGTCTGCTTTTGATTAAACAATAAGCACAAAGCAAGGAATGCTTGGCTTGGAAAGGAGTCATTACCACTTTATACATTAAACAATTTGCAGATTTATTTGCACTTTTCTACAAATAGCAGACAGGTGTGAGCTTATATGAGCTCTAATATTTTCCCCAAGAGCATCCTATCAACCAGGATGGTTTTTATACAGCCATACCACTCTGCCAGGCCCACTTCAGCCCTCACTCCTCTGTGAATGATGTTCTTACTTTTTGAAGAAATGCCCATTGACCTCAAATTGCTGTCGTAACATGACTTTCCCTCGATACTCTATTATAAGCGTGTCCAGAGCCAAGTCTCTTGCAGCCCTCAGGATCTTCCGGTGCTTTTGAACACGAGTGACTCTTCCCAGCTGTAGCTACGTAAAACCAGAGAATTAACATTAGACAACAGCTACAGCAGCACAACAGACACTTCAAGTATTTCCTAATTGAGGAAAAGGCACCAATACATCTTTAGGTTTTATTTGTATGCTGTTTAGCTCAAAAATGAAGTTTTTTGTCTGTTTTTTTTAAACTAAGAAATTTTTGAATGATCAAAGTTTCTAGGAGATAAGCTCCACCTAACAGAACAGTCACCTGGTCCCTCACAAAAGACAAAAAAATATCATAGAAAAAGATATGATTAAGATTTTAGTGGCTCTACATCTACTGCAAGAATGATAAAGAACAAGCTTAGCTTTCTATTAACCTTAAAAATTCCTACTTAAGCTTTATAAAATTTCTTATCCTATTTTACCCATTTTTAATTAATACTTTACAAATATGTATCCAGACAGTTTCCAGTCACTACAACTTGCTTTTAATTAAAGATGCTCAAGAGCTGGCTAATTTGTTATTCTAAGGGGTTCATATATTTGAAAGAAATGATAATCCCATTATATGCCCTCTTCTTGGGTTCAGAAAAGTCTCAACTACTTATAGGGAGTCTTTCACCCTTTGATCCTTACCTGCATTTGGGAACCAATAACTGTATTATTACAGGCCAATTCAGTCTTATTAATAGTGTCTAAAATAGCAGGTTTGCCCACAAATTCCTTGCTAGAATGTAGATGTTGTTCAAGGGCGTTCTGTACATCTGCACTGTACTGATTAGTGAAAGCTTCTTCATACTGATCAGTCCATAGTCTTATCCGATTTTCCCATCCCTCAGTTGTATTCTCATCTAAATTCTGTGCTTCAGAAGGAGAATTCTGTAGAGAACAAAGGTCATGTAGGTTAGGAAAATCCATGCATAAAAATGGGGGGAAAACAGGCTGAATTTCCAGAGAAAATTTATTTTCACTTGGCAGTTGGTATGGCATAAAAGAGTAATGGCTTGGGAGTCAGGGGATCTGGCTTCTAATCATGGTTTCATTACCAATGAGATGCAAGGCCTTGCACAACTTCTTAGACAAGCTTCGTTTCCTCATTAATAAAGTGAGAAATTAATCTGGATGATAGTCCCTATCCCATCACTGTGAATTTATGACCATTTTTAAATTACAGAAATTTTGTTCTTATCAGAAGAATGACATCAAGCTCATAAGAAAATCTTGATAAAAATAAGCAAGAGATATACCTCAAAAGACTACAGTTTAAATTTCAATACTTAGAGTATCTGTGTACCAGCCTAAATTGATATTATTTCACTACTCTCCAGAATTTCTTTTTGTGACTTATTATTTTCATTATGCAATTAATACATGTTCATTCTAAAAATACATGTGACCCAAATAAATAACCCGTGATCTCGTTTCCCAGAGAAAAAGTCATCATTCTGGAGTATATCTTTCTAGCACTCTATTTCTGACAGTTTATACAGCTGCACTCTGAGGAGGTAAGGTGGGGGCAGGGGAGTGCATAAATGGAGTGTAGTAAATGCTGGGAGGTATTCTGCTCTACTTCTCTAGGAAAACCACTGTCTTCTATGGTGACAATACTGAGAAAAGATTATTTTATCTCAATAACATTATCCTAAACAGACAGTTTTTATGTCTGAGATACAGAGACACAGCTTAAGTCTGACACATGTTCTCCTCCATGGTGTTAAAGACTTAAAGCATCATCAGAAAACAAAACCAACACCGATAGAGATGATGTCGTAACAGTGATGACTAGAAGGAAAAGATACCATAGTACCAAAGCTACTTGCAAATCCATGTCCACACTCAAGTTGCAAATACAGGCATTAAGATATACTTTCCATGAATGACACAGAAAAAATTTAAGTCTACCTTCACAACTGCTTTCTTTCACTTTTGTGTCATTGTTTATGATTGACTTTTGTCTACCATCCTTTCCCCAAGGAACAGGGAAATGAAAGGAAAAAATTAATGCCTTTGTTTTCTACCCTTCTCACCAGAGTCCAAAAGCATGAACAATAAACAAAGGAATCTAAGAAACATCTGAGGTCAACACACTGAGAACACAGTATCACCTGCTTGAGGTATGAGGAGCAGCTAAGCAAAAGAAAAGTTCAAAACCTGAGATGTAAGGGTATTTATCAGACTGGGGAATAGGAGAGCCCAAACAGTATTCCCAGGTTTAAGCATTCAGCAGTGATCACTAAACCAACGACTTACAACACTTAACATATACTGGAAGCCACTGTCACATTACTAGCTGTTGTTCACTAATACAACTCTGACTACTCTGCTTTCCCGTTCTTCTGGGTACTCAAGAAGCTAACTCCGTGTGTTTAAAGCATGGTTCTCAAGCAGAGGTGATTTCTGTCCCCAGAAGACATTTGGTAGTATCTGAAGTCATTTTTGACTACCACACCTGGGTGTATGTGTTACCGGCATTTAGTGGTTAAGAGCAGTCTCCAGTAGACAAGCTTTTGATTCTGCGATTAGAAATCTAAATGATAAATACTTCCCATCCTTATGGCTCCCAACCAAATCTTTGGCGGTGTTCTTACTAATAATGAATTGAGTACAAATTTGTAACCCAACTTAGAATTCTGATATGAGAATCAAAATAAACTAATTATTTTTATTATTTAAATTTTAAGATGCCTGTGGGACTGTCAACATCTTGAAAATGCAAGCAGTATTTACATGTAGAGAGGTTTATAAATAGTTTTCAGAGGCAGCCAGTCAATAGCTTTCAAAAAGGTTTTGAACACTTGGAGGCAAGTTAAACAGTTAGCTGATAAAAGAGAAAAGGCCTTAACAGCTGTGGTCAGGGGTATGTCTGCCCCATAAGTCTATTTAAGATCCCCTCTAAGCAAATGAGACAAAAATAAAGGGGGTAGTTAAGGCAATTGTAATTTCTTACAGGAGACAAATCTAGCAAAAAAAATAACAATTAGGCTGTGTTACAAGACATCCCAGGACTCTGATGCTCTTGGGCTCCGAGTCCTCTCCCATTGCTTTTACAGATATGTACAAGTCTGTTTTATAGGTATATGCTAGGTGAGGCCTTCAAATTTTAGATAAAAGGTCACCTATGATCTCTTTTAACATCAGCTATATTAGTGTTCCGTATATACTTATGTATATTAGCCTCAATAAAGCTTTTCCTTATTAAGATTTTAATGTTTATGCCATATAACTGTCAATAGCAAAGATCCTGCTTTTTATTATTTACACATTTAGGGATAGGAGTTCTTTTTTTTTTTTTTTTAAAGATTTTATTTATTTATTTGACAGAGAGAGATCACAAGCAGGCAGAGAGAGAGGAGGAAGCAGGCTCCCTGCTGAGCAAAGAGCCCGATGCGGGGCTCGATCCCAGGACCCTGAGATCACGACCTGAGCCGAAGGCAGCGGCTTAACCCACTGAGCCACCCAGGCACCCCTAGGGATAGGAATTCTTATAGAATTAAATTAGATTTTAATTCTAAGTAAATGTTTTGAAGCCAACTGGGAGCTATGCTGTCCTCCTACATATACACAGGTAAAGGAAGATACCAGACAGTAAAATCAAATCTCCTTTGGGAAAACTGTTCTTTATCACCCAGTACTTAAAAGTCCTTTTAAACCATTGCAGGTAATTTCTCAATTCTCCAACCACCACCCAGTATCACCTTATAAGCACTTTCATTTGGTAACTGAAGAAAAGAAACACATTAGCATCATTTGAATTTTCTATACCAAATAGATATGCCAGGAAAAATACAGTTCAAAACGAAGTAATTCCAGTAAGAGTAATTCCTATCGATAATACTACTTTCCTAACTGATGAAATTTACCCTCCCAACTGGTTATTAAAGCCCACGTGGTGCTAGGGTGGGTGCAAAAGAGATCCTATATCACTAGAAAAACCTCAGTCCTGGGGTGGAGGCCAATTAGAAGGACAGAAAACATCAGCCCCCATTTTGTTTAGTAAATGTCACTTACCCCCTGTCACCGCCCCCTCCCCTCAGAAAAGCGGCTAATGAAAAACCAGTAAATAAGGCTGATTACAGAAAGGGAAAATATTTCAGAAAATGGCCAAGAAAACCTACTTTGGAGAAAGGCTCTACGAAAACTGAATGGCAACAATTACAAACTAACAAAAAGCAGAGTCCAAGATTCCCAGACCATCAATGTCAGGAAAGAAGCTGACCAAAATGCAAGATCACAGTGAAGTAAAACACAGCATCAGGGAAGAATACCCCTTACCTTCATCCGCAAGGACTTCCGGGATCCCTCTCGAAATGCCTATCCCAAAGAGGAAAACAAGTAGAACAAAACAAAACTTGGTACCAAGAATGACAGTTATACCTATCTGAGACTAAAACTAAGGCAAGAACTAGTGTTTTAGTCTGTCCCCTTTCCCTAGGTAACAAATACAATGGAATCCCCCACACTATTATCAAGAACAGGGGTAGCTCAAGGCCAGTGAACTTTGAGGCTAACTCTCTTTCCATGGTGAATCTAAGTAATTAACAGGGAAGAGCATGCATCACTTAAATCCTATATGCACCCCTGACACCAAAAGAAAAAGTAAATAAAAACATTTTGTAAGGTTGCAGATTTACCAGTTTTGAAATTAAGAAGAAAACAAAGACCAATCCCCTTAACAAGGGGTGGACAAGTCACCTAGGAGCAACAAAGTTGCCATGATGGGGAAGAAAGAACACAAAATAGAAGAGGTTTCTCCTGGAGACTTTTTAGTTGAGAATACAGTAAAGTGACCACAACACTGAGGAAGCCTAGATCATTCAAGAGATGTTTCCTAACTTTTTTGAAACAAGGAAAAAACAATCAACCCAATGACATGAGGTGGGCAGGATAAGAATTTCAGACTACGCCTCGGGACTGAGGAGGTGGGGAGATAATGAAGGATAGTGGAAGCCTAGATCGGAGGCTGCAGCACATACAGGCTTGGCCAGATGGGGCTGGGATTTCATATCTGGGATGGGGTTTGGAGTAGAAGAAACTTTGTGCCAGTTGTAATGGTATGGAGTGGCAGAAGAGAGGTTGATTAGCCGATTTTTGCAAGCAGAGCAAAAGTGGCCCTTCAAACATCTGGATCAAACACTTCTTAAAAGAATTTTGGCACCTTCTTGGTCCAAAATTTGGGCTATTTCAGACATATTTCTATTTAAGATACTTTTACCCTCCATACCTTGATTTTCTTCGTCTTTGCTGCTGTACGACCCTTTTCTGGACTCTTCTTCCGCTTCTTGGGTTTGGTTCTTCTAACAGTTAAGGTGATGCTTGTAGGTGTGTGCTGTGTTGCTGTGTACAACACAGTGGAAGGAGAAAGCTCCTCATCCCAGCTTTCTGTTGCACTGCTATCCCCACCTGAAAAAAAGTTATTTCATAGTTCACATGTTGTACAAATAGTGTCCAAGTGCATTTTAAAAGCAGCTTATTACTTTATCTTTATTCCTTTTCCATATTCAGGAAGTCATAACTTCCATTAACTCTGTCATGTGTAGAACAAAAATACCCACCTTTCTTAGGAAAACAAAGTTCTTTCTGTATCACTGGCATCAAGCAGAGAAACTCTGTTCAATATCGATATATTTTCCCCCCTTGTACGAAGTCCCCAAGCTCCATCATCTCAATGTGTTAACACAGAAAAAGGATCTGTCTTATTTAGTATGTGTGCTCACAAGGAATATTTTGATTGTTCTGGGGCTAAAATGTTGTTTCTGGAGACGTTAATTCACAACAAGACAATTACACAGAAGTTGTGAGAGAACTGCTTTCTCTTTCCATGAAAAGCTGGGACCATGGGGACTTAACAGGAGTTCTGGAGATGACTGTTTAAATCACAAAATATTTATCTGTCAAAACATGGGCCCAACCCATTTTTGGCTCACCTGATATGTTGTCCTGCTTCCGCCGATGAAGTCTAATAACCTTCCCCCTGCTCATTCCCCTAAAGAGGGAAAATAAACTTAAAGTAGTCCTTCCAACAGCATGCAGCACATCATTGCACACATGGGAGAAGTGTCTCTGCATATACTACCCCCTTCCTCCCACCTACCAAATGTTTCCAGGACATTAAATTTCATATCAAATTCAATAGCTTTAACATCAATCTCTCATTCCTTGTTGTCAGCAATTCTCACCTAGTGCAGAGAATTCGAGCCAAGGAGCACTAAGGAATCATCTACATTAACAAACACAAGAAAGAATACTTTGAGCTTTTCCCTACTAATAAGAAACCCTAATCCCAGCAACCCAGGCTTAAACTGAGATGGAGCATGATCTTACCTGCACTTGTCACAGTTGAGAAGGAAGCCATCCTGAGAAAGACCACAAGGACACCAGGTAGGAACAGTCTCTCCTTCAGAGTTCGGGCTGTCTCCACAGCGTTCCTCTACGGGCGACGGCAGGCCATTCAGGTCAGAACGAGGGATGATCGTCTGGACAGGGGGAGAAGCAGGAGGTGTCGGAGGAGGAGGGGCTCCGTAATTATGATCCTGAAAATAAGATTTTTTAAATCAACAGTGTCCAAACACTGGCCCCTCTCTCCCCTAAAGTATGGTACATATGGAAAGAAAGAAGAAAGTAGTACCCTTTGTTTTTTGGCTTCAACCAGGAAAGTGATAAAACAAAATGCCAAGGTCAACTGGGACATAAAAACAAGAACAATGATGCAGGGCTAGACGTCCGCTGGAGGCAGGGAAGTGCAAAAGGGGCAACTTCGTCATGCTGCATATAAACATTTCAAGAAAGTCACAATGTATAAGAATGGATTACACTCCAGGAAGATCACTGCTCTGGAGAGAAACAAATGCATACTCACAGCATAAGGCAGTCCTCGACACCCATGCCTCTGAGTGGTCCCATAATTATGAGTGGAATACACGCTCTTCTCATTAACTGCTGGACTAGCCTCCACAGATTCAGGGCTGCACAAAGGCGAAAAGCAACGCATGATAGCATAACACCTAATCTTCCCTTAAACTAAGACTTTTAACTTCCCATGCTAACCCCTCCTCTTTCCACAACCACCAGCCACTAGAATAAGAGAAGGAACTCAGTGAAACAATCTGATTAACATAACTAAGCCTATAAATAACAGGAGTGTTATTAAATGTGAATTTGTGTGTAACATGAAGCCAGTACAGGCAGATGTCTCAAGGCAGGCACCTGGAATACAAGGTGTCCCTAATGACAAACACAAACGTACCAGCTGAGCAGGGAGTTTCCCCTAGAGAAGCCACTCTGGGCTGGTTTAGACTCAGAACTATTCTTCTTAATTGGATCTCTTAATACTTCCATGAAACCTCACATGACATTTGCAGTGAGTGAGATGATGAAAGTGCCTTCTGCACTGCCCCAGGGACCAGGCCCTCTTCCATTCACTACCAAGACAGGATACCCTGAAGAAAGTACAGGTAAAAACAATGGCATCTTATATTTATCATACCTCTCATCTTGATGAACCCCCAAAAACCTTTGAAATATTAGAGTAATAATTTCTCATCCATCAATGACATGCAAGCATATCAAGGACACAATTACTTAACAGCTGCATGGTAATACCACAGAACTTCAAAATATTCAAAACTGTAATCAGAGGTTATTGTTTATTGACAAATAATAAGAGGAGTTGTGGCTACCATTCTGAATCTCCCATTATTTTCTAGATGCTTTTATATACATTAATTCATTTACTCTGCAACTAGTAAACATGGTAAATAGCACCCCATTTTTATAGAAGGAAAAGTTAAGGTGGTGAGATTACGTGACATCACCAAGGTTACACACTGACAGAGCCAGAATTTGAAACAATGTCTAATTCCAAATCCTGTGCTCTTTCCACTGTGCCTGTCTGGTTTGGAAAACCAGGTTAACATTCTATCTTCCAAGAAAATGATAAGAAAATTTAAGTAGCCAGGCTTGTTGAGAAGCCTGGTGTGATATCTTTTTACCCTCACTGAATGGAAAGCAAACTGTTCAAGTATAATTTAATATAAAAACATTATAAATGTGTTCAAATTTAGAAATTTAATTGTAAGCCTTTACATGATAATAAAAAGGCATAGGTAACAAAGGACAAAACACAAGTTTTGGGGAAAATAAGAACTCTTTACTCTGATTGTTACTTGATTCAAGTTTTTGGGAATTTTGAAAGATTATTAAGGAATGCAATTGTATGACTTTGCTAAGCTCAGTAATGGATTATCTGTCATTTAAATTAACTAGAACAGATTCACAAATCAGAAACTCCAAGGACACAAATAACTCAGCTTTAGAGATCAAAGGGTCTTTTAGGGAATCAAATAATGCGTGGTTTGCTTTAAGGAACATACGTTTTTCCTGCTTTCAAGTATACAATACACATTATTCGGCAGGAATAAACTGTGCAGTTCAATGTGGTGCAATGTCAGCTGAGAAGTGAGGGATAAAAGAAAATTCTGAGATATATCCAACTCACCCAGTTATATGCTCCAAAACTGTGAGAAGGGATCTTATTAATAACAGCAAAGGTAATTTCTAGGTGAAGAAGAACTTTAGACATAGGAAAGTATTCTGTTAGTGAAGTGCATGCATTTTATTCTTTAAGAGTGTCTGCAAAATGGGAACTGGGGTGGGGGTACATCAAGAATGCAGGTCAGTATTCTTGAGAAAAGATGATCTGACATGGCTCACTGAGAGGCAATCAGCTCTGAGTATTAGGAAACAGGTGGGGTTTCCTAAATGAAACTGAAGGGAAACAAGCATTAATAAAATGAAGGCAGAATTTAGTTTCTATGATGGACAGTTAAGAGAAAGTAATAACTTTCAACACTGTTAATTCAGTAAATAAGTATTCCAAAAAAGCTGTACATATTTTATATAAGAGATTTTGTACCACTGAACACATGGGGTGAAATATGGCAGCTGTTTATTAGAAATGGAATTTTTCTGGACGGGAAAAAGGAAAGTGGCATGAAATAAAAGATGGCCATGGAGATGGAGCTATGTTGGTTGTATCTTACCCATCTCCAAACTGGGTAAATATGAACATATGCACTTCATGTGCAAGTCTAGGGAATAAAAATAAAATGTGTTTTGTGGAGGTTAAAAGGCCATCCCACTGGACAATACTTTCTAGTAAAGCACAGCGTTTAATATATAGCTATGCGTGCCAAGTATTAAAATTTAACCTCATGTCTTTTGAAAAGGAAACTCTGCAATTTTCATGCTGGCTATCAATTAAATAGTTACATGTTGATCAATAACTATACAATTTCCTAGAATATTTCTTGACATATATATCAGCTCTTATCTCTATTTCAAAATATGGATTAAAAATCTGGACTGTTAGGATTACATTTCCTTATTAGCCAACCATTTTATGCAAATGTAATTATAGCCTACGTCTGAACTACTATGACAGCTGGGCACATACACGGAAGCCATGCTAACAATAGATATTGCATCAATTGTGTTTTAAATACAACATGCAACCTGCTGCTATAATGCTACCTCTTGGAAAATGTCTAAAAATCATTTATGGGAGAACTGTAAATTCAGAAAAATCCTTGCTTTTATTATCTAGAGGTTCTCCTACAAATACATAAAAAATGCATAATGCCTACTCTTATTATCAGATTTAAAATCCCATGAGATATGGTCTAGGTCTTTTACTCAGTTTAGTATGTTGCCTTTAACACAAGTTTAATTTTAGGGTGCCCAGAACAGCGGAATATGCATGACAGTGGAATATGCATGGTGAAACATTAAAACATCATCTAAAATGCAACAGAATGGTACATAAGCTAATTGCTGAGATTCTCTTGCTTTGTGGAAATACTAAATGAGTAACTGTGTAACAACAGTATCAGAAATCTGTCCAGAAATTACAGATGAAAACGTTTCAGGAAATAGAAACATCAGAGTCAAGTTTTTAGGCCAAAAGTCTGCAAATACTTCTGGACTCCCTAGCAGCATTTATGGGTGGTCATCTCTGCACTCTGGGAAAAACACCAGTTTTAAGAACTGCTTTAGGTTTTTTTCTCTACTAGTCCCAAAGTCATTGCTTTAATCTCTCTGTTGAAATTTTCACAAATGTTAATGCTGTCTACCTGTGTAGTTTATTAGACAATTTATGTAAGAGGCAGTGGTTGACTTTATAAAAAATCTGTTAACACTATACAATTATAGTTCTTAATGCAGGAAGATTTTTTTAAGTATCTGGGAAACAGTTACAAACTTGAAAGTCTCAGCTGCCAGCATAACTGAATCTCTCAGGCATGCAAAAAAATAAAAACAAAACAAAACAGGAAAAAAAGCCCTGGAAGGAACACAATTCCACCCTTCCCATTCCCCACCCTCCATCTTCCTTTTTATATGGGAATAAGGCCAAAAACTTTCAGTTCTTGACTACCCAAGAATACAGTATACTGCTTCTTGGAGTAGCTCCATTTTAAGTCTTCCTCTTTAAGGAAGACAACAGACAGTTAAGTAATCCTAGGTGGCTTTGTAAAGAAAATATACATGCTCTTTACTATATTCTCAGTTTTAAGGAAGAAAACCACTATTAATCAGGGATGCAGTTGAACCCAGAGCTCTGGTACAGTTGCTTTGCTTTGCTGAAGGGGGAAGAATCCCCAGGGACTATGAAAATGGCAAGAGAAACAGGGGAATTAGAGCAACACCCACCTCACTCAAGAAGTGGCTGTGGGATCAAGAGTCTGAACTGGACCTGAACATATTCAAAACACCAGGATTTTTCCAGCCCAGACCCTAATCCCTGGTACTGCCTGGAATAGACTTGGCTTCTGGGGGTGTGCTGCCCCCTAGGCCCCTTGGGTCTCTTTCGCTGGACTTTCACATCCTGGTGTAGTGCCACTTCGTCTTGAAAGGTAGGGGGCTTCCACTTCCTTTCTGTAAGCAAGGAAGATTGGGTACAAGGGAGGTAAAAGGACAAAAGGGGGAATCTGTGAGCAGGGGGAATCTTGGACAACTTAAAAGAGAAGGGATACAAAAGGCTAAAATTTTTTAAACTGTGAATAATATATAAAGTTTTATAATGAAGGCCTACCTTCATTGCCATTTGGTATTTAAATTCTTCAAGAATTGAGAGTCTATTTTAGGGATTGGGCTTTTCGACAAACTCTGAATTCCTAAAGCTGCTCTTAGCTGAAAAAAAAGTTTGGTACCACTGATTTTGAAGGTCCTCTTTCTAGGCAATGAATATTATATAAAAACAGATGACACTACTTTCAATGTTTTCTACCCCAAATAGGAGAAGTTCTAAGTAACCTGCCCATATAAAGTTTTAGCCCCTTTACTCTAGAACAGTGAGAAGTACATAGGAAGAGGCCTTCAAGGAAAATCAGTTGGAGAGAACTCCTCATCTCCCTCCTCAGACTAATCATTAACTCTACAGAAGCACGTAGTGACACCGACTTTATTTCAATCTTCCCCACCCATCAAAACAAATGAAAATGTAATCACTACTGTGCAAATTTAATTCAATTATATTATTTACTAAGAACCCCCCTCCCCCATTCTTTTCCTCCCCTTTCTAACTCTTTTTTTCCCCTCCAACTTCTACGGGCAAAAAGGGAAAGGCCTAATGTCATTTATGGTGGGTTAGACTTGGGTTTAGAAAATACTGCGTACTTATTATTAGATGCCCATAAGAAAGTTATCTCCACACAAACTGGTAACGCACCTACTACCCAGAAAGTAGCACTTACTCTGATCCAGCAGCCATATCTGAGTAGGATGTATCTGGTGTGGTGACTCCCAGAGGGATTGCAATGCTCATGACGTCCAATACAGCAGAGAGTGGAAATCACCGGGTCCAATTAATGGAGACTGGCCACTCTGAGAGTGGGGGTGAGCTGCACAGTCTTAACCAACATGTTATGGACATGAGGAATCCTGCACAGAAAAGGAACATATCTAATAACCAGATAGTTCTTTACATTTAACCTAAATGATACTGAGTATTTTCCCATTTTTATTTATTAAAAAAGATTTAGGTATTTGAAAGAGAGAGCGAGAGAATGTACCAGTACTAGTGGGGGAGGGGCAGAGGGAAATGGGGAGAGTGAAACCTAAGTAGACTCCCACTGAGCACAGAGCCCAACATGGAGCTCAATCTTATGCCCGAGATCACAACCTGAGCCAAAACCAAGAGTCTGATACTCAACCAAGTGAGCCACCCAGGTGCCCCTATTTTTCCATTTTTAAATAAGTCTTTTAAGGGGTAAATTTAAACAAGTACAGCAAAGGAGCTACACATTGACCTATTTTATTGCATACTACATTAATATTCTACAAAGTGAGGTAGCAAAAGTTATGCTTATTTTCATTTCATTTCAATTCAATCCACTGCTAAGTATAAATAAAAACATAAATTGTAAAGAGTAGTTTCATAATAAAGGTTAGAAAATCTTCTATGGAAAAGCAGTGAGATACCTTGAGTGACTGACCATAACCAGTGGAATCTGGGAAGAAAAAGACTCACAAACTACTAAAGTATAAAAAGTTAAAAGTACATTAAGAGAGCGGGACACCTGGCTCACTCATTAGAGCATGTGACTCCTAGATCTCAGGGGTTTTAAGGTCAAGCCCCAAGTTGGGTGTAGAGATTACTTAAAAAATAAAATCTCTGAAGGATGCCTGAGTGGCTCAGGTCATGATCCCAGCATTGTGAGATCAACTCCTGCCATCAGGCTCCACACTCAGTGTGGAGGCTGCTTAAGAGTCTCTCTCTCCCTCTCCCCCAACCACCCCTTCCTCTCTCTCTCTGAATAAAGGGGGAAAAAAAAGAGTATATTAAGAGATTTGAAGGTATGGTGCAAAGTGGAAAAAAGTATACTCTATACAATTTACATTAGTGGGTTTGTATTAAACTACTTAAAGAATGAAACCAGATGGGGCGCCTGGGTGGCTCAATGGGTTGAGCCTTTGGCTCAGGTCATGATCCCGGGGTCTTGGGATCGAGCCCCACATCGGGCTCTCTGCTCAGCGGGGAGCCTGCTTCCGTCTCTTTCTCTGCCTGCCTCTCTGCCTACTTGTGATCTCTCTCTGCCTAGCAAATAAAGAAACAAAAATCTTAAAAAAAAAAAAAAAAATGAAACCGGAAATATTTTCTGTGGGAGGGAAGAAAGTCAGTGTGAATGGTAAAGACCCAAGTTAATAAAGAATTTTGCAAAAAGACTACAAAAAGAGTCATGATTGATTTGCTGATTCATCTTAAGACAAATAAATTACTTATTTTACTCAATTTTACAAATAATTATTCCATTACTTATATTAGAGAAATTTAATGAAATGAGAAGTACGTGATCTAAGCTAATACTAAGTTAACCCAGAGAATTAGTGCAAATTTTAAATGACAGACCATGTAAGATGCCTAAATCTTACTTTGATACATAAGGCAAATTAATGTCAATACGAAAACCAATTATGTACAGTGAATCAGGCCAAGATTTTTAAGAACACATAAAGATAATATTACACTTTTTGTGTTATTTTAGAATACTAGAAACAGCTATCAACTAGGCAGTCCTCTCTGGCACCTACACTTTGAAAGAACTGGATCTCATTAAGATCTAGGACTCTCCAAATCTGGGTGAAGGCAAGACACCAGTTGCTACGACTGGAGGTGACACAGTGCTAGACTTGGGACTGAAATGAAAAAGGGAAAATTTCCTATTGTTTCTTCACAGCTTACAAAAGAGAATTGACTAATATAACTCTTTGGGCCCATCTAACACATAATATATTTCCTTTCTCTAACAATATATTCAAACAAATTTAGGCAGTATACCCTCCAAGTCTCTAGGAGATTGAAATAAAATCTACAAATAATAAAAGAGAATACTTATCAAATATGCTTGAAAAACAGTTAAATATTGGGGATTGTTGGTTACAACTATTCCTCTAATTTTAGTATCACTCTATAACTTGAACTAAAAAGAAGAAACAAAAACCAAAAATCCCAGAAGATGCCTGGCTTGATAATCAGAACAGAGTCTGATAATAATCATACCTCCCCTTAACCAATAAAGGAATTTCAATCACATGTTACATTTTCAGTAAAGGATAAAAAAAGTTATCCAACACCATTAAAAAGCCTTTGTCGTAGCCATGACTATTTTATGTCCATTAAAAAAAAGTAGGCTTCTAAAAGACAACTTACAAACTTAAGCTGATAGTTATTTTTCTGACAGTAATTTTTAAAAGATATTCTAAAATGAAAAAATGGGGGAAATTATTACAGATAGAATTTCCTTAATGAGTGAATAAATGATTAACACATTCCTTACAGAAATCTCAACCTAGCTAGACTTGATAAATTTAAGAAACATTAACTACTTTAGTTATGAATTTCTCTTTCATGAATTCCTTCATCTTCCTTTTGTGTAGTTTTACAAGACTTTTCCTCTCTTCTGATGACGACAATTACTATAGAGTAGCATGGCCATCTTCTATATAATGCTTTCATATTAGGAGATGGGCATTAAGAAGGGCACTTGATGTAATGAGCACTGGGTGTTATAAGCAACCGAAAAAAAATCACTAAATTCTACTTCTGAAACTAATACTACACTATCTGTGAACTAACTTGAATTTAAATAAAGTCCTGAATATAAATAAACACAGAAATAAAGCTTTCAAATTATTAGGCTTCTTAACACAAAAAATGTTAACAAAATCAAACTGCTCACATAACCCTGAGATTCATTCCTTCCCTAAAAAACACTCTAAAATGTAGCTATTAAGTATTAACTGAAGACTTAACAGATCAATATGCAATATTTTATTACAATTACTCTAGTTTTATAAGCCAAGAAAACAGACTCTTAGTATAGTTTACCAAGGTTAGTAGTACAGAATTAGTTAACTTCTCGCACAGTTTGGGGAGGTGTCCTAGAGTGAGAAGTTAACTTTGTCTCTAGGTGGAACAATTTCAAGATATCTTTTACTTGTTAAATTTTCTCCTTCTACCATAATATAAACTCTATAAGGACAGGATTTTTGGGTTTTATCCTCTGCTGTATTTCCAATGTTCAGACCGAAAATGTCTGAGACTGTGTGCTGAATGTATTATGATCACCATTATCTCAACATATGATTTTAACACTCATTACAATATAAAAATTAAAACAAATGTAAAGGATTTATTTGACTCAGTCACCTTTTTATAGACCTCCAAATATGAAGACCCCAAAATTATCTGCCAGTACCTCTGAAGACCTAGAAAAAGTTGAGACACAGATTAGTACAGAAAGAAATAATAACAATGGATACAAAGAACAGAATTATTCAGAATATTTTCTTTTTTGGGGGAGAGGAAGAGTGAGCAAACACGCATGTACATGAGTCGGGGTAGGAAGGGGGGGGTGCAGAGGGAGAAAGACAATCTTAAACAGGCTCCATGTTCAACATAGAGTCCAATGCAATGTGGGGTTCAATCTCACAACCCTGAGATCATGACCTGAATCTAAATCACAAGTCAGATGCTTAACGCCACTCAGGCACTCTGAATTATACAGAATATTTTACACAGTAATTTATTTCATTTCTACACATTGCCTTGTCAACCATCCTATGTTCATTTATTTCTGTCCTTAAAGCCATGATATCCTATTTTTCCTATAAAGCCAGAACCTAAATAAAGAATGGAAAAGGAAATTATCTTTATTAGACTTAAGAAGTGGAAAATATTATGCCACTGGGTAATACTCTTCTCTTCAAATGAGAAGTCTCTCCCATTTCCCAAAGGACTTCTTATCTCTCCTAGGAGGTACTTCTCCAATGACCCACTCCCAAATGCAGAGGCGTTTCTTTAACCAAATATCAAGTTTACTCTCTAGTCAGAAAAGGACCTACCATCACCTATTAAAGTATAAATTCGTATTACTTCTCCCCTCCCTCCACCTTCACCCCACTTATCATCTTGTCCACTAAAAAAAAAAAAAAAGACAACTGGTAGTCAATTCTATTTGTGGTCAACTGCATAATGGACTACGTGTAAAAACAGAGCTTTAATTAACTTTCTACCCTCCAAAAAGTAAAGGAAAATAGGTGATTTGAGGGGGGGGGGGGCAAAAAGTCAAATTTAACATTAGCCAGAACAGGGAATTATTAACTAAATGTTAATATATCATGTATGCGAAAAGAGTTGTTTTGGGGATGCTAGCTACCAAGCAATAGAGAGGAAACGTACTTTTATATGTTGATATTTTGTGGATTTCTAAATTTACAAAAAATTGGAAAACAAACTATTTTTTAAAAAGATTTTACTTATTTGAGAGTATGAGCAGATGGAGGGGCAGAGGGAGAAGCAGACTCCTCACTGAGCCGGGAGCCTGACGCGGGGTTCAATCCCAGGACCCTGAGACCATAACTTGAGCTGAAGTCAGACACTTGACCAACTGAGCCACCCAGGGACCCCTATTCTTTAGAAATATTTTTAGGGGCACCTGGGTGGCTCAGTGGTTGGGTGTCTGCCTTTGGCTCAGGTAATGGTCCCAGGGTCCTGGGATCGAGCTCTGCATCTGGCTCTCTGCTCAGCAAGGAGCCTGCTTCTCTCTCTGCATTTCTCCTAGCTTGTGCTCTCTCTCTCAAATAAATAAATAAAAATCTTAAAAAGAAAAAATTAAAAAAATTTTTTAAAAGAGCATACTCAGAATTATCATAAAAATAAAAGGTATGAAGGCAACAATAAAAGGAAGGAAAAAAAAAAAAAAAAAAGGAAGAAGTGGACTCCCCTAGCAACAACAAGAAAGAAAGAAAGAAATGACAGGAGGAAAAAGAGAAATATATGAATGTTCAGTAGGGGGAAAATGAATACATCAGAATTTCAATTTCATATCAATTCAAATTCATATCAATTTTGTTTTTCCAGAACAATTCATCAGAATCCACAGAATACTACTAAGTTCTTGGATTCAGAAGCAAAAGCAGTCAGTCTCCCAACACTGAGTACTATTTTGAGAAGTCACCATTTACACACACATATAGTTTCTGGAGAAAAGGCTATTAAACAGAACATGAAAAAATGTTTTATAATTACCCATCTTTTTACTTGGGTTCAGAAATGGTCAATAGTCTCTGTATGTGTCATTCTGAGAGTCTCTTCTCTATATGAGTTGTTGAAAGCACAAGACCTGTGTGACCTATTTGGTCACTCTCAGAGCAGACACACAAAAGTGTTTTAAGAACAATTCCAACAGAGATTTCAGAAAAAGAAATTGCATCAGCCAGGTGAGCCGGAAGCAGCTGGGAGACAAGAGTCCAATAAACAGCCAATCCAATGAAAGAAATTCAGAACAAGTCTGCTTCAGTAATCCTGTGAAGAGGACTGGCAGGAAGAGGAGTGCCGCTTTAGAAAGAGAACAGGCCTCATATGCTTCAGACAGTCTTTGTACTGAGGCTGTGGACCTTGGCCATTCTCCCAGAAATGATGCAATCCTGATGAACAAGATCTGCTGCCAGAGAAACAATTGTTAACAGCCTATGCAGACAGCAACTCAGCCAAGGAACAATCTCTGATCAGCTCTCTTCAAAAACCCCCAGAAAGCCAAATCTCTTCCTCAATTTTGGCTTCTGACAAAAACATGTAAGTGAATACACATTTAAATATATAAGAACAAGCCGTCTTCCCAAAATGTCCCTTTGCTTTTAATTGGTTTTTCTTTCTTTTTTTTTTTTTTTTTTTAAGATTTTATTTATTTATTTGCCAGAGAGAGAGAGAGATAACAGGCAGGCAGAGTGGCAGCAGAGGCAGAGGGAGAAGCAGGCTCCCTGCCGAGCAAGGAGCCCGATGTGGGACTCGATCCCAGGACGCCAGGACCATGACCCGAGCCGAAGGCAGCGGCCCAACCAACTGAGCCACCCAGGCGTCCCTTAATTGGTTTTTCAATATCAATCATCCATAACTAAATTTGAAATAAAACACTGAGAACATTTCTACTTTTATGAATATAGTACTCCAAGCATATTAACAAGGTATTAAAAGCGAGTTATTAACAAGGTTGAAATTTTACACTTATTTTCCTCACTCTCATTAGAAAATATTTTGAAAAGTCGTAGTGGCTTCTCTATGTATGAAAAACAATCTGGGGGCGCCTGGGTGGCTCAGTGGGTTAAAGCCTCTGCCTTCGGCTCAGGTCATGATCCCAGGGTCCTGGGATCGAGCCCCGCGTCGGGCTCCCTGCTCCGCAGGGAGCCTGCTTCCTCCCCTCTCTCTCTGCCTGCCTCTCTGCCTACTTGTGATAGCTCTCTCTCTGTCCAAAAAAAAAAAAAAAAAAAATCTGAAAAAAAAAAATCTGAAATCTAGGACCCAATTATGAGATTTGAAAGTAAGGACAAACATGCACATTTACTAATTCAGGGCCAGGAAAAGTATATTTTATAGTTATTTCTAAAGTTATGTGACTCAATATGTTAAAGATAGGCATGTATTAGAGAAAATCTCTTCTTGTTTAGGCAGACATAAACAGTAGGTTGAATAATATCACAATCTGCAACGCTTAATTTTCTCAAGGGCAACAATATTACTTCAGATCTTCTAAGAGGGTTAATGATTATTATCATCCTATTAGCAACAGCTTACTATTTTGGAATCTAAATTAAAAATTTCATCAATTTAAAGTCAATCAGGGAAGGATAATTATCATATGATCTCCCTGTTAAGAGGAAGTTGAGATGCAACGTGGGGGGTTTGGGGGGTAGGAAAAGAATAAATGAAACAAGACGGTATCAGGAGGGAGACAAACCATAAGAGACTCTTAATCTCACAAAACAAACTGAAGCTTGCGGGGGGAGGGGGGTAGGGAGAGGGTGGTGGGGTTATGGACATCGGGGAAAGTATGTGCTATGGTGAGTGCTGTGAAGTGTGTAAACCTGGTGATTCACAGACCTGTACCCCTAGGGCTAATAATACATTATATGTTAATAAAAAAAATTCATCAATTTAAAAATCCTCCCTAGGTTCTTCATCTCCTAGGTCTGGTTTTAGTATTAAATTGTATATATGGTACTGCTATAAAATTATTAGGATTTTACCTCCTTGTTTACTAAATAAAAGACCCTGCATACAACAACTCTTAGTTCTCTAAATTTCAAGTAGCCATAAGCTGTAATTAACCAAAGACCTTCCTTGCAAAAACAGTAACTCTTAAACTGGGATTCACTAAAAACACAAACATCTAAGATGTCTCCTACAATCAATATATTCAGCCCAATCTACTATCCCTATTTTTAAACTAGTAAATAATGAAAATGAACTGATGGACAGAATAATTCTAAAGCAGTAAAAGATCTAAAGTAGGCTAGTAAGTGAATAAATTTAAGCAAGAAGAGAAAAAAAATTCAGGAAAGTTGTCAATAAGAGTTAAAATAAAATAGCCATTAAGATTCAATTTCTGAACCTACTGATCATTCAAAATTTTGTTATACATGTAAGTTGAATTTATTCTTAAATACTTAAAAAAAAAAGATTTATTTGAGAGAGAGTGCACACACTCATGAGAGCAAGGGGAAGGGCAGAGGGAGAAGGGGAGAGGGAATCTCAAGCAGATTCCCCTATGAACACAGAGCCAACTTGGGGCTTGATTTCACGACCCTTAAGATCATGACCTGAGCCAAAACCAAGAGTTGGATGTTCAAGTGAATAAGCCACCCAGGCGCCCCTCTTTTTAAATATTTCAATTTCTTCTTTACAAGAGAGTAAAAGAGTAAAAAGGAGACATATGGAAAGACTATTAGAAAGTGTTTTTTTAACATGATGAGTACCCTCAATTTTTAAATCACCAAGCAGTTCAAAATGCAGTAGATAAAGGAATGCATTTTATCTATGGTACCAACTTGTGGAAGAACTAATGTGGCAGCTGCCATTTATATGCTTATCTTTCATCTTCAACCCAAACTGAAAGATCAAGGAAAAACACTACCACTGTACTGTAACAGATCACTTTTGGCAGAAAAAGTATTTTAAGAAAAAGTACTATATTAAGAGGCAGAAGTCTGAGTTCTAGCCTAAAAGCCTAAATATTTGGTGATCTCAGAAAAATCACTTTAATTCCTCAAAGTAAAATCTCAATGGGCTTCATTCTGCTTCAGAATCTATGAATCCTGGCATTGGCTTAGGCAATTCATGCAATGTCTCAAAGTCTCAGTTTTCTCATCTGAACAACAGAAAGAATACCTGTCCTGCTTACTCACAGTTGCATATGAACTAGTATTTGTAG